TCCCTTGAGTTTAAAACCTTCTTGAAGCTGGTGTATCATGCAGGCAGCTGCGTAAAAATAACTTCTGCAACTCACTGAAACTATTTTACTTCCTCTCTGCAGAAAAGAATTCTGGGTTTCACCTTTCACTAATGTTCGGTGATGAGAGTGTCAAGGATAGCCTTGACCTGTACAATAATTCTAATTAAAGCTACTAATAATTTACACAGACAACAAATAAGAAGAGAAATTGTATTCAAAATATTTTTGTAGAATAGCTCTTTTTCTCATAAAATTGTAAATTGTATTTGAACTTGTATAAAGATGCTCTGTAATTTTAATCAGTAAAATTCTGACAGATGTCACCCTTAATTATTAAATTTCCTTTTAATTTTTTTTGTCCACTAGATGCACAGTACAATACATATACATTACACACATATACATTTTACTGCATGCAATGTCATGCATGGTTAAATACAGTGCACTGTTATGGACAGCACCCAAAATAGGGCACCATATATAATGGCACTAAAAACAGTACTTTGAAAACTGCTAAACTTTTGTTTCCCAGATTTTCAAGTATATGAACAAAACCTATAAATAGACAGTGTAGCAAACATCTTAACAATACAGAACATAACTGAAACCAAAGATATTAAACTATTTTTCCTCTATCATTTCCCAAATAAATTTATATTGTTTTCTTTATAACCTTTTTTTTTACCATTTACATCTTTTCTACTTTTTATTTTAATGCTTCTTTTTTTGTTCCTAAAGTTGGATTAAATAATCTAAAAATAATAACTAAATTTTTTTTTACTTTAAAGTATAATTAAATGGAATATAAGCTTCACATTGGGTAAGTCGATTTAATTACATAAAATACAGGTTCTATGGCACAAACCTTTGTATTCTAGTTCATATCTTTTCTCAAAATAAGCATATAAAATGTTTTACATATAACATATATAATGTTGGTATACCTCAAAGTGCTGAATGATTCCAGTGAAACTCAGATTGGATAACCAAAATGACAAATCTTTAATGAGGGCTCAAGGGTTTTATTTTACACAAGAAAACTAGGAGTTTGGGATTCCCAAAGAGATCATCAAGATTCACTGCAAACTGAAACATAAATTCTTACATATATAGTGGCATCGGCTATGCAAAATGATGCTACAGCTAAACTTATTTAAGGTTGTGTCGAAGGAGAGAATGACGGTTTGCCTGGAGAATCTGGCCATTGTGCAACTGGAAAAAATGATTCACTCATCTGATAGCAATGACCTAGACTTTCAAAAATAACTCTAGTAAACCCATTGTACTGGTCTGGTTGCACTGCAAAGAATTTATTTACTGATGGCAATAAAAAGATACTAAGGGTCAACAACCACTACCTAACTTCTGAATTCCATTAAACGTTAATTCCAAAATTATATATATATATATATATATATATATATATATATATATATATATATATATATATATATATATATATATATACATAGTGAAGGAAATAAGTATTTGATCCCCTGCTGATTTTGAATGTGTGCCCAGTGCATAATTTTTTAGATATGCATTTCTTTTGAATTTTTTGTTGCTATTCTGTCTCTCATTGTTACAATACACCTACCATTCGATTTTTAGACTGATCAATGGGCAAACATTCAAAATCAGCAGGGGATCAAATAATTATTTCCTTCACTGTGTGTGTGTATATATATATATATATATATTTTAAGGTATATATATATATAAAATTTTTTTTTACAGACATGACACATTTATTTTAAAATATGTATACAAAAAGAACATTACCAGTGCATGAGGTAATAGTAATACTATATCACAAAAAAATGCAAGATAGAGGTTGTCGTTGTATCTGAAACTGCCACTAAAGTTAGGGTATTATTTCTAGTTAATATGGGTTACTTAATTGTGAGATTCACCATGAGAGTCCTTTCATTTGTGCCTGTTTTCCTGTAGTAAAAACACGTTACTGCATGAGAATGCATTTTAAATTATATGCAGACCCCAATAATGAACTTCTTTGTGTGATCCCTTTTAGTTAGTTAAATATAATCCAATGAAGGTGCTTTTTTTATATCTGTTCCATGACCTGTTTCTGTTACCTGTTCAGGGTTCTCCCTGTCTACTACAAGAAAACCTCCCCCTGTATTGTATAGAAGATAAGAGGGGGAGGTGTTTTGTATTCCTAACGCACTTTCTTTTCTAGGGTGATAACGCTACTCCTCCATAGATACTGTACTGTGAGTAAGAACTGTCACACGTGGACAGGAAGTGTGTTAGTGGTAAGGTGAGAAAAAAGGGAATTAAAAAACAACTAATACAGTCATCACATCTTTGGTCTTGTAACCTGCAACATAAAACGCCTTACTTATGGTTTCCGAGTTCCAGCCTCTGTTATCACATTTGCCTCAACACGTTTTGCCACTAGGACTTTTTCAAGAAGCAGCAAACATCAGACTACCAGGAATGCCATTTTTAAATAAACATGGTGTTTCTGGTAGTCTGACACTTGCTGCCTCTTAAAAAAGCCCTAGTAACGAAATGCGTTGAGGCGCAAGTGATGTCAGATACTAGAACTTGGAAGCCAGAAATGGGGCAATTTTACATTGTATGAGAACTGGCCTCTATTTTCTAGCCAAATATACAATATATGTGAGTGCAATACCTTCTTTTTAATAATAAAGCGGTTTTCAGTACTACACTATGGAGATTGTTTCTGTTCCTGTAAGGATCAGAGGAACTATTAGGATCTGGTGCCTGTGTGCAGGAGAGGAGCATCTAGTGATCATTTGGAATACATCACCTTGTGATTGCCTTGTATGACCTGCTTAGTAATAAGAGGTCAGTTAATTCTGGGGAAAGTTCCGCTTGTACACAATTTTGGAAACCATGGTGAAAATAAGAAGTGCACTTATTTTGTGTGGACTTTTCACTTATATTAATTATTTATTTTCACATCTGATTTTTGGATTGGGTTTTTTCTTTGGTGTTAACGCTGTGTGCTTTTGAAAGGTTATTTTGCAAATTACACAATGTTGTAGCGCTGGTATATATAATATATATATATATATATTTATTGTATTATTTTTTACCTATCCTGGGGGATAGGCTTTTTCCAACTTGGTTTTGGAGAGCTATTAGCGTAGGTTTTGTATTATAGAAGCTACAATATATTACATTTTTGTTCTTTGCACATATTTGTAAAAGGCCCTTTTGCAAACTGTATTGAGTATGTCTGCAAGTTTGCATAATGCATGTTTTGTAGAGGCAATTACATTGCTGAAATATGTTTTACTTACAGTAAAATGCTTTGCGTTGCTTCTAGCTGGATTCTTATGACATTTTTTCCTTCACTATTCTGGAAAAATCATGGACACATTTTGACAAAGCATATACTGTATGTATTCTATATTATTTAATTAATAGATCACTTATTTTATAAATTAATGTTTTTTTTAATTGTCCTAACCCCTCTGGGTTGGAACAACAAGCCTGATAAGGTTGTACACGTTCTACATGTATTTGTCTTTTTTATGGTGAAGTGGACCTAAGGTTTAACTCAAGTTTAGTTACGAAAAAGCAATAAAAAAATTGCCTCTAAGCGAACTTTATACAGTGAAAAGACTTTAGCAGACTTTATTACAGATTCCTACTCAGTCCTTACCGTTCCCATGCTCACATTTACTGCTAAGTGGTTGGCTCTGGTGTCACCATAACCACCTGTTCTTTCTCATCATTGTAATAAGAAAAGTACCTGCCTGCCTTTAGAGCTGTGGCATATGGGTGGCTGTGCCTATTCAACTTAAATTTCAGTGTCTTCCTTCGAAGCCAGTGTGCAATGTACAGCTTTCCATAGACAGCAATGGCTGTAAGCATTCCTATCACAAACATTTTCTATTTTTGCGCCCATATGCTATATTCTTGTTTATAATAGCACTGGCAGATACCTGAGTACAGCGGCTCGCAGCTATGCATATCTATGGGAGGATCTACGCTGCACATGGGCTTCAGGGGCTGGGTAAAGATCCTGACATGTACGTTGATCGTGCTTGGCTGCCCATGTGCAGTCTACAGAACTATTTGATGGTACTTTCTAACAACAAGTCTCTTTCAGCAGAAGAGGCCTAAAATGTTACTTTATGCTCCACATTGACTTCCAATAGGTAAAAAACGTGCAAAACTTCAATGCAAGATCTGCATACAAGTGAATAGAACTCCTTTAAGGTGCTATATTCACATTTTTTGTCATTTATACAGGATACAGTAAGACAATTTTTAACAGTATTAAATTATGCTTAGCTACCCGTATGCAAAAGGCCTGAGTCTACAGAACTGTTTGATAGTATGTTCCAAAAATAAGTCTCTTATGGCAGAGGACGCCTACAATTTTACTTTAAGGTCCACACAGCTAGGAGTAGCAATGAGTCAATCATCTTAGTAGGAAATATGAAATCTTCTATGGAAGTTCTGCACTTAGTGTATATAACATCTTTATGGTGCCATATGTCATTTTCACGGAATACGGACATTTAACTGTTAATAGTATTAAATTACAATATGGGTTGTGCAGTATCATACGGGTTATATAATTTATACAATTTTACCTTTAAATTTTAACTTTTCAATGATATTTTTATTATTTTAGTGGTTACTAGTTTGGAGCTGAAATAGGCATGATTTCAGAATCCAGTTAAGTAATTTTGCCATGATGGGATTACAGTGACTCTTGATTATTTGAGTCAGTATTGTGATCAGCTTTAGACATGTTACCTGCAACCTGAAATTATTTTATATCAGTAGAGAGAGTAAACGTTTGTCTTACAATTATGTTTATGTTGAATGTGGAGGTGCGATTGAATGCTGTATTTGTTTGTAGCTGTGGAGCAATGTCATTTTGTTTTCTTTATGTACTGTACAGGATGCAATGTATTGATATCAATGTATTTACCATATTCTGAGCCCTGGGATCTGCCATCTCTTTATAGTACTTTTATGAAGAAACTATCATTGAAGAAGGGGAAGCTGGGGAAGTTGTGAGGGAAGTTGTGGAGGTAACTCCTCAGCAGCCATCCGGTTTAAGCAAATTAATCTCTCATCTCCAGCCTGCTTCTCTACCGCTCTGCTTTAAGGGTTTTCCATCAGAAACAAACATATACAGAAAGGAAACTATGTGAGCATCAAAAGAACATTACCTTGTGATGTTCAAAATGGGGCATTTGCAACTACTTCTGCTTGTCTAGCTGTCACATATTTCAAGGAACCCTCTGTTCAATCACAGTAGCTGAAAGCTATTGTGCTTTATACATATGAAGGAGTAATGATTTCCCCCTCAACATTTATAAAACATCTACAAAATAGCTGCTTTGTTTATAACGTCACATTAATTGGTAACAGTGCTGCCTATATTTTATTTGGTGATCTGGAGTCCCACAGAGAAAGGCTAAGTGACATATAAACTTTTGTTTATAAACACCAAAGAAATACAGTTTTTCATTAAGCCAAATACCTTGTATAAGAAGGCCAAGGTGAAAACTGCCATTCTCAGACTCAAGTGCCTATTAGCTCCATTCAGGGCACTGATGCTGTTTCTGGAAATATCTGCTGCCCCCCTTCACAGAACCTATTAATGTCCAACAGAATCTAGTGATATTCTAAGCTTGAAACCTATGTCAAGTAATTTTTTGCTGTCCCACTAGGCAGATTTTCACTCACTCCTTTCCAAGAGAAGCAACAGAAATTGAGAGGAAATCATTGTAAAGTGAGGGAAATTTCCCTCTGAAGTGAATTGTCACAAACATGTTTTCCCACTGGACCCTGGTAACAGCTATAAAATTTTAGATTCTTCACACTTTCTGTTTCAGTGGTAATGGTCATCGGGATAAATTGAAAGGGGGAATCTACACAACGGGCAAACAGATAGCCATGAAAATCCTTCCCTACTCAATATAAAACAATCCATTCTCCAGGGCTGGTGCTTCCTTCCCCTCTCATGGATGCTAATGCTTACAGGCTTCACCTGGAATTTTGTATTCATATCACGTGACAACTCACATGATAGGAAAACGTTTTAAACTCAAGCTGACTGGGTAGACTGAGGACAGTCTGAGGTACATTTTATGTGCAACTGTCAATAAGTACCTGTTGGGTGACCTGTGGGTAGCCTGTACTAAAGCCCAAACTTCCATGTGGGATCCATGGTGGAACACGAGTCATCCTTTAGACTCCACCCTTGGGAAAGCAGTTGCTTCCAGGTAAGGTGACACCTACAATTCCAAGCAGTCAACACCTGAGCTTGTGACAGCATGCTCGAGTCAAATATAGACCCTCTGGAAATTCTGCAAGGTAATCTGGAACCTAACAAGGCATGCAAGGCCCCATGCTCATAGTTCACTTTCCAGTCAGAGAACAGTTCCTTCCATTTCCAGCTGTCATCATTTTAGGTGCTAACTTCATAAGTGCAGGGAATCATACTGGAACCCATATTCACTCCCATATCCATTCTTGTGGTCCTGTACACCAATGAACTACCCCTCCTAAAATAACCGGTAAACACTCACCTTCCTAGTCCTGGTCCATTTATAAAGTTTTGGGTGGGGGTTTTTCTGGTGCCTTCTTTGCTCTCCTCTTACCAAATTGGTACCAAGTTTATTGGGGTTTGAATGCCACCACCTCCAAAATTCAGTACCCATTGCCCCTTCATCTCCAACTTGTTTCATCACTTACGTTGTAGAGTTCAGATCTTCTTCAAACTTGATCTGAGAGGGACCTACAACATGAAAAGAATAAAAAGTGGGCAATGAATATTATTATTATTACATCGAGTTTATATAGCGCCAAAGGGTTTGCTCAGCGCTGTACAATAGAGGGAGGGGACAATACATGAAACAGTACAGCAACAACAAACAGCACATGAGGGGTTAGAGGGCCCACTCTTTCGAGCTTAGAAGACCAATTTCAGCACCCAGGATGGGCATAACGATTAGCTTATAATGTCCTTTGACTTTTGCAGTGCATCTTCCATCACTTTGCAAATTAAATCATTTGAGACCACCTCTGTGTGTTGTGGTACACCTTGATGATGTCCTTATCTGCTCAGAAAATATCCAAGAACAATGTCTACACATGTGAATGGTCTTGCAATGTCTGCAAGAGAATGGGCTCTACGCCAAGAAAGAGAAGTTCTGCTTTGAGAAACAGTGCCCTTTCTCAGCTACATAGTTTCCAAAGAAGTTTTCAAGGTGGGACCTGACAAGGTGAGAGCAGTTGCAAACTGGCTGTGTCCTGCTACCTTGAAATCCATTCAACATTTCCTGGGATTCACAAATTTGTGACTTGTAAATAAGCCTATCTGATGAATTGGTAACCTGAAGCCATGGAAGCCTTTAAAACAAATGTTTTAGCTAGATCATCTTTACTTCAGCCTAACATGCCAAGCCATTCTAGTTGGAGGTGGATTCATCCACTGTGGGAGTTGGGACTGTGCTGTTGCAGAATGTCTAAGGCACAAAAAAAACTGCTTTTTTTTTCTAAGAAGTTTTCTCTGGTTTCATTGAATTATGACATTGCGGAACAAGAGTTGGGGGGCATTTAATTGGCCTTATAGGAGTATAAGCACCTTCCCTCTTCATATGACCATAAAAACTTACAGTACCTCTACTATGCTCAATTCCAGGCAAGCCAACAAGTCTCTTTTCTTCGCCTGTTTTAATTTTGTCATTATGTACAAATCTGGTTTCTTTTAGAACCAGAGTCAATGGCCTTTTGCGTTCCTTATACCCCCTGGACCTCGTTATCACCTCAAATCAGATACCATTGTTCCACCTTCTTGTACTCTTTCTGTAACATATCTCATGAAAACTTACATTCCTATAGACAAGATCTGTAAGTCTTAGAGCTAGATTCCCCCACTGGACCCACAGTTCCAAGCTGGAAGGTCATCCTGGAGTCCACAGAACTCTGACCTTCCTCAACTGTTGTTATTGGTAGTCTGGGTTAAAAAAGGATGTCAAAGAAACTGCACCATCTATGCCCAGATCAAAGTCCCTCTCGTGCTGCAGCAGGACCATTGATGTCACTTTGTGGACGCAAGGAACCTTGCGAATACCTGCCCAAGGATTTCATTACAGATCTCCCTCCCTCTGAAGTCTGCACAGTGATTTGAGTTGTGGTCAATAAGATTTAAACATGGCTAACTTAGCTCCCCTCTCCACTCTTACCTCTTCAGCAGCTCTGGCACCAATTTTCATTTTTGAAATCTTTAGATTGAAATTTTCACCTGCTCACCACCCCAACCAAAACCAAAATCTGTAACAGTATCTTTGCTTCATCATCTCAAACCTCCATGATAATTGGGTCTCTCTCCTGACAGGGTCCAAGTTTGACCATAAAGACCATGTCAATTCTAGTTACAGGGAATTACCATTGTTTTTGGTTTATGGCAAACATCCTATTGTGCCTGCTCTCATTTCATCAACTGATGATATGCTCACTCTCGCTACTATGGAAATCATGATCAATACGATCTGTTCCCAGATGCAAAAATTCCTCATTGACTCTGCTTCTGGTTACAAAAGAATTGTTGATTTCTCATTGCACCAAGCCCCCTGACTACCAACCTGGAGATTAAGTCTGGCTAGGCACTGTAAATATTTCACTCAAGACACCCTTCTCTAAGTTTTCGCCATGGCACATTGGACCTTTTGAAATCTCAACCAGGATCAATCCAGTTTCTTTTAAGCTCTGTCTACCTCCATATCTCTGTATATGGAATTCTTTCCATGTCTGTTTTTTTAAACCCCTGGTTCTCAATACAATCTTATGTTCAACTCCAATCATCTTTCTTTCAGCAGCTTCCTCTCAGAAATATGACTTTCAGCAACTATTGGATTCCAAAAACTTCAGAGGCAAATTCAATACAATTTTATTGACTGGAAAGGCTACAGCCCAGAGGAACACTCTTGGAATTAGCTATTTGATGTGTTCAATCATCACCTTCTGTTGAAACCAGGTCCTTGACAGGTGGGGAGACCCCATAACAGGCCGCAGTGTTCTGATCACTTATCTTCCACACTCCATCACTGATGCCTCCTCCATCTCTTGTGGCCGCTTCTGGGTTTTGCCCGTGACTTTCTGGACCATGTCATGTGACAAATCATGTGACCCAAAACTCTTTTTAAATTCAAGGGAGAGAGCTTTGAGTCTGACAGCCATCAGTGCACCAGAGTGCCTTCAGTCTGTCTGCTACAGTTTGCCCAATATGCTACAGTCGGCCCAGTGTGCTACAGTCCACCCAGTCAGACTGCTAAAGTCTACCCAGTACAATACAATCTCTGCCAGTCTACTAACATCCCTACCAGTCCACTACAATCTCTACCCATCCACTACAGTCACTACCAGTCTGCTACATTCATTACTAGTCTGCCATAGTTTCCACTAGTCTGTTACAGCTTCTGCCAGTCTAGTACAGTCTCTACCAGTCAGCTACAGTCTCTACTAGTCAGCCTGCTATGTTGGACCACAGAATCTGTTCTACAGGCACCTATCCACCTCCATGTCCATGAGTACCCATTGGGTGACCAGGGGCAGTAGCATTTAGCTAAGCCCAAACTCCCTGAATGAGTCCCCAAGGAATACCAGCTATTCTTTAGACTCCACCCTTGGGGAAAGTGGTTGCTTCCAGCTAGGGACACTCCTGCACTTGGTGAACACCTGTGTTCATGACACTTTAACTATTTTAGACCATAATTAAAAGGCTAAATTTAAAGTCCACTTGAACTCTCACTAAACCAGCTATGCACTTTCTAGGTACAGTATATGAAAACAAAAGAGGTTCAATGTTTTACAATGAATTTACTTTCCACATCGGCTGCAACCTGTCAACTGTTGAGCAGGATCCGTACTCTGTGGGAAACCAATGGTCTCTCTGCAGAGGTCCAACATGCCCCCTGCAGTGTCAGAGCCAGAGCTTTCTAATCATCAGGTATCATGAACTTTGCTGATTGCAGATTGCATCTAGCTTTTTAGACTCAGCAAAAGGTGCAAGGGTCCCACTTTGTAGCTGTTGGCAGGGGCTGGCTTTTCTACCCAAGCTGTAGCTGCTCTAGAAGGAAAATGTCAGGTATTGAACACCTTTTGTTTTGATACACCTTAAATGTATTTAGCGTATTTAAATTGAGAGTTCAGTTTGGCTTTAAATCACAGAAGCCCAGGCACATTTTAGCCATGAACAACAGATAGCCACTTTAATGATTTAGCACTGTATATATTAATCTTTAGGTGTATTTGAACCGAAAATATTATCAGTGAATAATGCCTCATCAGCAAAATCACAAATTCAGTGAAAACGAATTGCTCTTGTTTCAGGTGGAAGACCCTCTGCTTTACAAGCTTTATGACAATGAAATAAACTAAGAAATAATTAACTCTTGCTGCTATAGGTGATATAAAGACTGCTGCTCCTGCAGAACAAAATGGCCGGCTTTATGACATCATCCTTCACTCATTCTTCAACATGTTCATGGCTAATTCATGTTTCATTCCATCATGCTTCACCTTTCTTCACCTTTGTGGCAAGTCTTATATTTTTGGGCATTGCAGTAAAATAATCAACTCTGCAATCAGTATTAGTCACTTGGTCAACAGCGTGTCTCCTAGGACATGTGTAGGTTTATCTGGGTGCTAAATGTTGTTTCTACAGTTTTCTACAATTATTTACAAGTGGCTGTGAAATTCTTGCATAAACAGAGTATTCCCTTGTATCTAAAATACCAACATTGCTGCAAAATGTAGATATTTCCTATTGGGCACATAAATTGCTTAAAGTGCTTGAAAACACAACTAACTTAAAATGCTTTGAAATGGTACTCTGAAGCATTTTAGGAATGAATGGTAAGTGCAGATAGCATGTAGGGGCCCAGTGTTGGTACACATTGCAAGCTCTAGTCAGTGATATCTTGCTGGATTTGAAACAGATGAGTATAAATCTAAAAGGGGGGTAGGTACAATATAAGTGTAACCGCACCAAAGGTGCAATTATACTCTAATGGACCTCTACAGGCACATTGGAACAGAGTTGATTACTTTGCGCACCTTAAGTCAAATTGTATGTAAACGTTCTTAGGTTTGGAGGCATTTTTTAAACTTTAATTGCATTGAGAATTTGAAGTTCATAGAGTGGAAACATAGCTATGATTTTAAGCTTGGCTTTTATATTAACACCTCTTTTCTATCAGTCCATTCCATTGCTTGGTTATCCATTACTGCAAGTTTTGGATAACTGCTCAAGTTATCCATGATTCATCCTCATTCATGCTCTTTAATGTGTGGCTTCTCATTGTAAATTTTCATCTGTCTCATGAACATTACTCCACGTGGCTGTAGGCTTTGCAATGTATACAAATCATTTTAGCTTGGTGCTATCTGACCCTTGGCTGCTCAAGTGATGGTGAGTATGCTTCTAAAGTGATTGTTAATTGTTATCTGACAATGATGCTTGCTATGCCTGATGCAGAACACACTTTTTTCTTTGTTCTTAATTTTATAAATAGTGTTGCTTCTAATCTGAAGGACCTGTTTGTCACTCTAAGTACCCGCTTAGAACATTAAAGTTTATGTTCCCAGACATTTGTGTTTGAATTGCTTTTCTTTCCTTGCAAGTAATGTAAATGCAAGAGCAGCTCATCTTAACTCAGAAACAGCCCAAAAGAGTAACATGGAGCTACTCGGAAGCAAATCATAAGCATATCAATGTGTCATAGCAACTCAGAAGCATTCTAAATGTAACTAGATTCTCCGTTTAATGCCCGTGTATATGAGCCCTCGCTCACAAAGCATGCAAAAACATCATGGTGTCGGGTCTCTTTGCAAAATCTAAATGTATACCTTCAATAAAAGTGCCCCTGAGAGAAATATGTGGACTGGCATTGTTGGTCTTTTATTATAATAGTGGCCAAGTGTCTCTGGTTTCAACAAGTTTGCGTTAAAGTTGCCCTGAAACCGCAGAATCAGTTGTAAAAAAACACCTGCCCTGTAAAAGGAGAGGGAATATACTTACCTTATGTTCTGAAACTCCTCTGCTATGGTGCTCAGATGATGTAAGTATATCTTACTTCTGGTTGTGTAAATATCCTCTCAACCAGCTGAACACAGCGATGCACATTGCTATATGGGGCTTTAGTCCAAACACTCATCTGCCAATTTCTTCTGCTGTGTAGTAGGTTCACTTTAAACATTCAGCAAATATGTACCTGTTTATTTGGGGTTGTTCTCATTTTTGGCCACATACTTTTTCCTTTTGATATTTGAGAATTAACCATGCAAAGTCCAACATCACTGTTTTGTTCTTTTTTGGTCTTGTTCACACCTATGCATTGTAATGACACATCAAAACATATGGTACGTGCCATCCTATGGTTTTTAATAGGTCTGGTTGACATACAGTTGCAAGAAAAAGTATGTGAACCCCTTGGGATTACATGGAGTTTTGCATGAATTGGGCATAAAATGTGTTCTGAACGTCATCTAAGTCACAACAATAGAAGAACACAGCCTGCTGAACATAATACTACACAAACATTAGATGTTGCCATGGTTTAATTGCACATAACATGTAAACATTCACAGTGCAGGGAGGAACAAGTATGTGAGGCCCTAGCTTAATGACTTCTCCCAGAGCTAATTGGAGCCAGGAGTGAGCCAACCTTGACTCCAATCAGTGTGATGATATATTGGATGTGTTGCTGACAGCTGTCCTGCCCTTAAAAAACACACACCTGTTTTGGGTTTACTGGTTTCAAGAAGCACTGTCTGATGTGAACCATGCCTCGCAGAAAAGAGCTCTCAGAAGACCTACGATCAAGAATTGTTGACTTGCACGAAGCTGGAAAGGGTTACAAAAGTATCTCCAAAAGCCTTGATGTTCATGTGTCCACGGTAAGACATACTGTCTACAAATGGAGAAAGTTTAGTACTGTTGCTACTCTCCCTAGGCGTGGTCGTCCTGTAAAAATGACTGCAAGAGCACAGCGCAGAATGCTGCATGAGGTAAAGAAGAATCCCAGAGTGTCAGCTAAAGACTTACAGAAATCTCTGGCACCTGCTAACATTTTTGTTGACACATCTACAATAAGGAAAACATTAAAGAAGAATGGAGTACATGGGAGGACACCACGGAGGAAGCCATTGCTGTCCAAAAAGAATATTGCAGCACGTTTGAAGTTTGCAAAAGAGCACCTGGATGTTCTACAGCACTACTGGCAAAATATACTGTGGACAGGTGAAACCAAGGTTGAGTTGTTTGGGAAGAACACTCAACACTATGTGTGGAGAAAAAAAGGCACAGCACACCAACATCAAAACCTCATCCCCACTGTAAAACATGGCGGAGGGAGCATCTAGGTTTGGGGCTGCTTTGCTGCCTCAGGGCCTAGACGGATTGTTGTCATTGATGGGAAAATTAATTCCAGAGTTTATCAAGACATTTTGCAGGAAAACGTACGACCATCTGTCCGCCAACTGAAGCTCCGCAGAGGATGGGTGATGCAACAGGACAATGACCCAAAGCATACAAGTAATTCAACAAAACGATGGCTGCAACAGCACAGAATACGCCTTCTGGAGTGGCCCAGTCAGAGTCCTGACCTCAACCCAATTGAAATGCTGTGGCATGACCTTAAGAGAGCGATTCACACCAGACATCCCAAGAATATTGCTACACTGAAACAGTTTTGTGAAGAGGAGTGGTCCAAAATGACTCCAGATCGTTGTGCAGGTCTGATCTGCAACTACAGGAAACGTTTGGTTGAGGTTATTGCTGCCAAAGGAGGGTCAACCAGTTATTAAGTCCAAAGGTTCACATACTTTTTCCTCCCTGCACTGTGAATGTTTACATGTTATGTGCAATTAAACCATGGCAACATCTAATGTTTGTGTAGTATTATGTTCAGCAGACTGTGTTCTTCTATTGTTGTGACTTAGATGACGTTCAGAGCACATTTTATGCCCAATTCATGCAAAACTCCACGTAATCCCAAGGGGTTCACATACTTTTTCTTGCAACTGTATATGCATTTTTTTTTGTGGCATGACATAGAAAATAGTTCAGATATCTTTTTCGTCTATAGACATCTATCAAGGGGCCCATAAAAGTCAAACCCATGGTTATTGAGATCCAGCATTGGCAATAGGCCATGTGCTCTTAGCATGGCTACATTTGGAAAATGGAAAGCTCTTGTCAACCCTCACTAGATACTGAGCACTAATTCGAGAAAACACAAAATTGAAAGGCAAGCACATGGCTAAAAAGCATTGAAAAAAAATCACATAAAAAAAAAAGATGAAAACAAAAGTGCATAGGTGTGAAACCAGCCTTAGGCAATACCTGAATCAATCCCACAAGATCTCTCAGAAAATCAAATATCAATTTTGTGCAGAAAAAGAGACCAGTCAGTCTTCATAGTGACCTGTACATTTATTGGAGATCTTCAAAAATAATTTCCTAGACCAAAATACCATCAATCATTATAAAACATTTGACTACTTTTTTTTGTTTTCATAGCCAAGGGCTGATGCCCCCCTAAAACATCAGAGACATCGGCTGCTCCCGGTGAAAGAAAGAAAAGAATCCGTAAAAAGGTGGACACATCAAAGTTTATGACGCCTTACATAGCACACAGCAAGAAAATGCAGGAGATGTTCAGTCAGGTGAGATTTTTAATTGTTGCTTTATTTGAATAGATTTCATTCCATATTAACAGGACTGATTTCAACTTTTCATGCTAATCTCCCAGGGGATGTGTCTCAGTTATACTTGACATACCCCAATGGTGAGAGTATGTTATGATGTATAAAAATAAGGGTGTTCTGCCATCTAGTGGACAAATGCTAGTAACTTCTCACTGCCTTATGTTCTTCATTATTACTACTTGATTTACTTTTTACTAGCAGACTAAGGCTGGCCATACACTATACAATTTTCTGTCCAATTTCTGCCCAATTTCCTTTAGATTTACCTTCAACTATGTAGTGCAAGAGCCAGCCTAATTGGATACAATTGAAAGTGTTGTTTAGGTTGGACCTCCTATTATATGGTTTTTGGCAAATCTAAACCAAAAATCTCAAGAAACTTGTATAATGTATGGCCAGCCTTACGTGACCTTCACCCAAAACTGCAAGACATGACTTACTGTAACATTAGACCTCCAGTTCACAAGAGGTCAATCTACACCTTCTAGAATGTAATCCACCGGTTCCAGGTGGCCACGTTATACTGCTGGAGATCCTAAAGAAAACCTTGTCCACACAAGAGGTTTGCCAAACTTCCAGATCAGAATCTAATGCAAGTAGGAAAATTAACTTGAATAGTGTAAGCAAGTAACATTCAAAGGAACATCCTTTTGTAAAATGCATAGAGAAGAACCTGGAGTCAGTGATATCAGATGCTTCATCTTTTCATTAGGTGTTAGCAATTGTATGAGTTTTATGCATGTCCAAGTTCCTTTTCCTGTTTGAATGGGATACTCCTCGGGCGGTACAGCTAATCTTTTATGTGAATTGGGTTTTCTTAATAGAGTTGATACCAGGACCAGAGCAGTGGCCACCTTGAATCGGTGGATGACATCATGTTAAATGTATATTGACTTGTTCTCAACTAGAGGTCCAACATTCTGCTGAGTCACCTCTTTCAGTTTTGAGTGGAGGTCACATTTTACTTCTACGAAGTCAGTGGTGAAATATCTCTACTGAAGCACTGCATCTTTTCAGAATTTGTGTTAGATGGACCATATACTAGTGCAGATGTTTTGAAATACAATTTAATATCTACCAGATTGTAAGCTCCAAGGAGAAGGGCCCTCCTATCCCTCTTGTATTGAACTGTATTGTTGCTGTATTGTCTCCTGTTATATTGTAAAGCGCTGAGCAAACTGTTGGTGCTATATAAATCCTGTATAATAATAATAATAATAATAATAATATTCAATAAACAGGAGCAAATAGCAGCATACAAAGCAGAGTAAAGCACAGCTGAATCCCAACAGCGAGTACAAGATTAATTCTGATTAGTTGCTTTACATGCTACAGTTTTTAATTTTTTTGCTCCTTAGGCTTTATTATTGGATAAAATGGGGTTGATTTTCTAAAACTGTGGAGTACAGCTGTTCATGGTAGCCAATCAGGTTCTAACCAGCTTGTTCAATTAAGCTTTGAGAAAAAAAATGGAAGCTAGTTTCTATGCAGAGCTGCAACAGATTTTTGCACTCTCCAGTTTTAGTAAGTCAACCCCAACATGTTGCCAGATGGATTTCTAATATTCATAATGGAACCACATGTGAAAGAAAAATGTGTAGGTAAAGCAACAACAAGCATGCTATAATAATGTTACTTTTAATTTTATTTAATTAATTGATAATATTTATGGATCTTTAGGTTGCACATACCATGTTATTTTCCAAAAGGATTTTTTTTGTTTCTTTTTAATAAACCTTTCCGAAAAATGGTTGGCATAGAAAAGTGAAATTTTGTTCATCAACCAACAAATCATTTCAAGCAGTGCTCAAACCATACGATCCCTCCCCTGAGATGTAAATGAATACTAAAATAACCATTTATCTTTTTCTTAGAATAAATATAAAGAGAAATTTGAAAAACATCGGGGAGAGCCATATGCTATCACAATTGATACTCCTGAACTCAAAAGGATCAAGAAGGCCCAAAACCAGCTGAGTGAGGTAATTCAATTTTATAAGTGGTACACCAAAAATAATTCTTCATATTATAATACAGGCCTGCTAAATTATATTTCAACATGTGAACTACAGGTGACCCTCTACAAATGCATCTCCTCTTCACTGGCAGCGCTATGAAAGCATCGAATATCCCAAAATCATTTAAATATCAAAACTATAATAAACAGTGTCCTTCATTTAACATACAGACCAATGAGATAATTGTGCAAAAAATATGATATAAAAATCCATAAAGTGTCCATATACAATTCCACCATAGCCTAATCTGTAACCACTTCTCTCTCCAACTCAATATTCACATGGAAAAGTAAAATAAAACTCCAATGGCATAGTAATCTAAGCCAGCAACATAATTTATTAAAAAGCCATGTACATTGTGTATATTAAAAACAGCTTATCTCATAGTATCATCATGTGGTGCATCTGTTGATATAATCTCACCACCCACAGAACCACCTCGTCATTTCCAGTTCCGGGTTGAATGCCACCTCCGGTCGCCGTGTAACCACACACTGATGCGTTTCGTCAGTTCTGATTTAGTCATAGGGGTTGGTTACATGGCGCAGCAAACTGACTTTTATCTCCTCCTCCCTCAAAAGGTTAGCTGTTTCATTACCAGTCCAGATTATGCCGCACAATGGACAGCTACCAATTATCCACATATACCGTTAACCACTTAATGGTTAATCTATCGAACTGTGCAATTAACCCCCCATTTACCAATCATGCAAATCTAAATTAGAAAACTAGTAAATGAATGTGGGTGATTGCATTGGCCAATGCGGTTATGCAGCCATCCATTTATTATCGCACTATAATCCAGTATATAATCATCTATAAATATTCATAATAAATATTGTCACTATCTGGAACATTTTATTAGGGAGGAGAATATTTGAGTCATAATGCATTCACATCTTATGTATTAAAATTAAATTACATATACCCTCCAAATATAATTATAACAACATTAAAATAATTATTATATAAACAATCATTATAAAATTACGATAAAATTAACAATGCATTTACATATACTGTATGTACCAAAACTAAACTCCTTTCAGAATGGATCCCAGAAATTCAACTTATTGCTACAGTGTTAATAGTTATGTATAAAGCAATTCAAACCCTCAGGTGCCAATGATCGTAGGGTGAATATTCACTTGGTTTCCCTCTTAGAAGCCTCAATCTATTAGAAGCCCTCCATGATGGGTAAACCCTATCCACCTCCCAAAATTGCAAACCCAACACATCTTTATTATGACATTTCTTTAAAATGTTCAGATACACTGTGGTGTATGTACCCTTTCAAAATATTATGTATATGTTCAGCAACCCTATATAAATCAAACTCTCACTACAAAATAAAAGTCACACTTTCACCCTTGAAAGTAAATATTTATCAAACCTTTTCTCTATATACACTCAAACCCCTATCTAATAAATAACACCCACTAAATAGTGAAATAAATAAAATAAACCACTATGACCACACAAGTCCAAAATTAAGAGTGTCTCACAAAAAGTTCAAAAATAATTATAGCTGTGTCCAAAATATTGATAATCTTCCAAAATTATAAAGAGTATCCAACTTAATTCACCAGTCCAGATCCCGTAATACCTCGAAAAAAATAAAACTGGAAATAGTGTATTACCTTCAAGTTTTAAATTCATTAATATGTGAAAAATATATAAATATAAAAAGTGAGTGACACGTGAATCATGCAATCAAAAATTTCACTCCGTGTACACTCCTGGAAACGTGAGAACAACAAAAAAAAAAATAATATAAATGATTAAATATAAATAAAATTAAAATTAAATAAATAAGTCCACAAAGCCACTCGGTGAAAGTTCAAACACATCAATAAGCAAAGTGAACACTCCCTTTGCTTGGAGTAAAAGCAAGCATTTCTGGATATGTATAGTATTCACTTGTCAGCTTCCATCCACCATGCAGGTAGTAAACTTTCAGCTTCCCCAATTCCTCATGGAGGTAAAGAAGAGATCCATATAGTAATTGGATAAGGTATATCAAGAAATTTAATGAAAACTCTTACATTTGGGATTACTACATCAGTCAGACTCGTCCCAGCAGTTTGTAAGGTAAAGTCCACGTTTTCCAATACTCAAAAAAAAACAAAAATGTGGACTTTACCTTACAAACTGCTGGGTTCACTTCACTTATTGATGTGTTTGAACTTTCACCAAGTGGTTTTGTGGATTTATTTATTTAATTTTAATTTTATTTATATATACAGTAATACCTCGATTTAAGAACACCTCGGTTAAAGTAATTTTCGGTTTACAAATGAAAATCCACTGAAAATAATGCCTCGGTTTGCAAATTTTGTATGAATTTTTTTCGCAATACGAAGTGTATGTCAGTGCTGATTTTTAAATGCAATTGCTGGCTTTTTTTTTTTCTTCACTATAGCTCACAGAATTAGCTGTCACTTTCCCCAAAGTTAACGGAAATTTTGTTTCTTTTAAGAAACTAAAAAGAAACATTGTTTGGCCCCCCCCCCCTTTCCTGACCTGCCAGGCTGCGTGCTCTGAAAAGGATCTGGTATGGACTTTGGGGAGGACTCCCACGCCATTTTGTTTTAAATTTTGGCGTGGGAGTTCCCCTCAAAATCCATACCAGACATGAAGGGCTTGGTATGGATGGGAAGGGGGACCCCATGCAGTTTTTTTAAATTCTTTTTTTATTTGCCGGCAATTCTTTTACATTCAGCTGTCAGTGGGAACCCCCGCTGACAACTGAAATATTAACATATGGTTGTCACTACTAAAATGCCACATGACTTGATAAAATAACTCATGCGGTATTTATTAGTGTTTACTTTTTTCTGATCTCCGGAACAGATTAATTGGTTTTCAATGCATTCCTATGGGAAACAGCGTTTCGGTTTAAGAATTTTTCGCTATAAGAAAAGTCCTGCAGAACAAATTAAATTCTTAAACCGAGGTATTACTGTATATTTTTTTTTTGTTGTTGTTCTCACGTTTCCAGGAGTGTACACAGAGTGAAATTTTTGATTGCATGATTTACATGTCACTCACTTTTTATATTTAAATTATATATGGACACTTTATGGACTTTTATATCACATTTTTGCACAATTATTTGCAAGGTCTGTATGTTAAATGAAGGACACTTTGTTTATGATAGTTTTGATATTGATGATTTTGGGATATTCGATGCTTTCATAGCGCTGCCAGTGAAGAGGAGATGCATTTGTAGTGGGTCACCTGTAGTTCACATGTTGAAATATATTGATGTACTTATAGGGTAACAGCTATTAATACATAGGGTGTGTACATATTTAGTCATATTCATTATTTATTATTTAGAAGGACAACAATTTGTAGCGTGGTGTGTTGGGTTGTCAATCAATTAGTACATCAGTAATACACAGCTAAACTATAGCTGACCATAGATGCACAGATCTCTCACCAAGAGTAACCAAAGGCGTGGAATACATCCACCTTATAACAGTTGGGGAGACCCTTGACACACCACGGCTGGAACTCCAGTCAAATACCTTCCCCATTCTGCTACATGAAATATTTTGTTGCTTTTTTTTGTCCCCTTAGGATAGACTTCTCTTTATTTCATGTCCCTCTGACAGCACAATCACCAAAAACACAATCTTTCAAATGGAGATGAAGACAACATTTAAACCCCAACAAAGGTTCCAAGACCTTCATTCTGTATTCAAACTAATTAGGAACATCATTTGTCTAAAGTTTCATTTCCTTCTGAAAATGCTAGTCGACCAGTATAAATACTTCTGATTAACAGATCTGGAACAAGAAAGCAGTAATTGAAAGTCGGATGGTTTCATTTAAGGGTAGGGTTATGGGTAGGGCCAAAGGGGAAATTATATATTTGTCCTGTTGAGTGTTTGAACTACTTCTTGGTAGTCATATCATTTACATCATAAAGAAATCAGTTTACTGCTAATAGGGTGCAAGGACCCTCCCACTGAGAGAAAGATACAGCACACTGTGGGTCATGTGAGATGGATTTAAATAAGTAAAAAAAATTTTTTTGTAACCCAGAGTTTATTTGGGAGGGGGATTATGTGGGTGGTTCGCATTTCCAGCAATTAGCTTTATTATTCAGAGAATCATGCAATTCATAAACTATGATTGCTTGGGTTGCTTGGGCCCCTGAACCGTCCTCAAAACAGACAGATCTATGAAGAAATATTACAGCAAATCAAAAATTGAGTCAGAATTTCTTTTGATCAGGCTGGAAATTCAAGGATTCCAACACTTAAGGAAATATAAAAAGACATTGGATTATTCTTCCTACAGCTTTCCACCTGATATATAATATCAGTTTTATGAGGACAATTTAAGTCTTTTAAGAGTATGTTGTGATTACAATGTTGTTCTAATATAGGTGAAGTATCGTATGGATGGCAATGTTGTCAGAACCAACTGTCACGTAGATGAAAAAGCCAGAGACATTGAGCATGCCAAAAAGGTGTCTCAGCAAGTGAGCAAGGTAAGTGAGCTTGATGTCTGCAGGTAGATGCTCCCTCTCACAGGCCATTCAATGCCAATCTTGACTTAGATACTCTTCTGTTTTAGGTTCTGTACAAGCAAAATTGGGAGGACACTAAGGAGAAGTACTTGTTGCCCCCTGATGCACCTGAGTTGGTGCACGCTGTGAAGAATACTGCAATGTACAGCAAGGTAAATATTATACAACACTCCCGTACATTTCTCTAGTTACCTTTTTAAATGTACTAAACAATGTTATGAAATTGACCATGTTTGTCAAAGAAATGGAGGTGGGTTTTGACCTCCAGCTGATGGAATCAGAACAAGACCAGGGATACTAAATTTTGCATCATCTGGATATAGAGCCATTTCTACTGCTCTCCTGTCTGCAGTATTCCCTGGAGCACAGTGTATTGCTATTGCTGGAAAACATATTGGGATGCCCTCTAAACTCAGAAAGGCCAGTATACCACCTGGGAGGGAGCAGGTTGCTTTCTCTCCCACATGCTCCAACGCCATCTTGACTGCATGCCTGAGAACCCTCCTGTCTGACTTACACATGGCAGAGGACACTGATGGCCAGGCTGGGCTGTGTCTTCCCTCCAGCCAGGAGGGTGGGGGGGTGGGCGCACATACGTCACTCATCTTGGTGGCCATAGAGCAATGGAAGACATCTCTCCTGGTCCGGATTGACAGGGTGGCAGAGGAATGCAACCTTATCAGAAACGACCTGGACAAGATCAGAGGTCACCTGTCTGAAATGGAATCTCGCATCTCAGCTACTGAAGACCTAAACTCTCAACTTGAGGCAACCCTCCAATCCCTGCAGAGCACCGCCCGCAATCTGGTTGCTAAAGCGGATGACTCCAAAAACAATCTACACCGCAATAAAGTCCGGGTCCTGGGTTTGCCAGAGGGAGACAAGCCTTCAGATTTTACAGAATCCTTATTTAAGGAGTTACTCCACCTGGAAGATGTCTTGGCCATGTATGTGGTGGAAAGTGGCCACAGAGTGCCTCCAGGCAAGAAAACCCCTGAATCTCCTCTACAGATGTTCCTTGTCCAGCTGCTCAATTATAGGGACTGAGACAAAACCTTATCCGAAGTCAGGAAGAACCCTTCTCTACCTTTTGAGAACACCATGGTTCACCTGTATCCGCAGTGCTCCGCTGAACTGCAACGCAAAACCTTCACTGAAGTACGTTGCAAGCTGCGGGAGAAAAGTATTCCATACAACATGATCTACTCCAGTGGCCCATAATGGCACGCTTTGTTTCTTTGATGCGGATGCCTGGCTACTCACTCTCAGGTAACGCCATCTTTTTGTGATGTAAGTGGCTCTAAAGCTGTTGCCCACTCCTCAGCCTCTCCAGATTACTGTTCGTTGGGAAGTGGAGAACTAGTTATCATATTTTCCTATACATTTTTTCTATTACTATGGCTTGTTTGTGGTCCAGGAGACACATGGCAAGGCTGCAGTGGATGATAACAATTGCACCACTTCCTCATTCGTGCACATGGGAACCAGGAATCCTTATACTCCCTCTTACTTAAAAGCTCCCCTCCCTATGCTTTGTGCCTTGTTCTCCTGATGCTGGAACTACATTTTGTTGTGGGAGCTGCCTCTTTTTCTTTGGCAAGCTGGCAGATCACTAGTTAATACTCTACTCCCCCTTACACACTTTGTCTGCTGGAAGTTGAATTTTCCATGGACATCGCCATCGAGTGGACGTTTTCCATTTTCAAGTTTCAGGAATTAAACTGTGTTAGCCTACAATGATTATAGTTTGGCTGCATGGTAGGGTATGTTTACTCCAGTTCCTCCTTATGAACTCTCTGATCTTTTTACTGTGTTAATTATTGCCTGTATTGCAAGGTGAAATATTGCTCCTTTGTGCTACTCTTTTCTAGAATGGTTTACTCTTCCTAGGTTCATGTCATTTGTGTTTCCCCTTTCCCTACCCCTATTTATACTCCTCACTACCTTTCCTTTCTGGGTCTCCCCTCTTTTCTCTTTTTTATGGTATGCATATTAAGGTAATCTCTTTGAATGTAAGAGGACTTAACAACAAGTTTAAGTGTTCCCTGATGTTTAAATATTTAACAGCCCATAAACCACATATTGTATTTTTTACCCATTTGATGGGCAATAAGATACTGACCCTTTGTAGAGCCTGTGTAAAACAGGTGTTCCATGCCACATACTCATGCCATGCTGGAGGGGTCGCTATCTTGGTAAACACGTCCCTGCACTGTACCGTGGAACAGGTAATGACAGATCACGGGGGAAGATACATTTTCCTATACTGAAAATGCAGTCGATGTTGTGGGCTTTTATAAATGTATATCTCCCTCCACCTGTTGACATTAAACTCCTATGTACCATATTTGAGAAATTGGCACCCTTTGGAATTGTATACATTGAACTGGGTGGAGACTTTAATGCCATCTTGGATGCTTCCCTGGATACCACCAATCCTGCTAGGGGTGCTGACAGAGATTTGTCTGCTTGGGCTGACACTTTTCATCTCACTGAGATCTGGAGATAGAAGTACCCAATGGATAAGTTCTGTTTTCATCTGTCTGCTACTCATAGGTCTGGGTCTAGAATTGATTATTTATTTGGTACCACACCTGTCTTGGCCTGGGTGGGCTCGGTCTCCTACCTTCCAGCAGGTATCTCAGGGTCACTCCCCTCTAGCCTTGGTTCTGGGGGTGGGGGGTGGAGGGACCCTGGTTGCTGGAGGCTGGCACCGCGCTGGATTCAGAACCCCATGGTACAAGAGGTTGTGTCTCCAAATCTTTCCAGTATCTCTGCCATGGTGCGGGAGGTTTTTAAGGCCACATCTCGTTGAGAATTTATTTCTGCCATTAAAGCAGGGATCATATTTCTCTCACCAGTTAGTTGGAGGGAGTCAAGGCAGAGGTGGACGCTGCCTATGCGATGTGACGCCCACGGCCAACACTTAGTCTCACTGGGAACAAGTTGGACAGGAGCTACAGGTTCACTTTACTTCCCTGACTCACTCAGACTTAGAGCATTTTGCTGGTAGGCTATTTGAGTCAGGGGATAAAAATATGAAACTTCTGGCAAACCTAGTAGCGGACCCATGCTACCAAACAGTGGTTCCAGAACTGCTTACGTCAACAGGCCTTAGTACCACGGTCCCATCAGAGATCCTACTGGAATTTAATAACTACTTTAGTTCCTTATATGGTGACTCAGGAGTAGCCCCAGACCATACCTTCAACAAGCTATTAACTTCTTTTTCCCTACCTAAACTTATGCAGGAGGAGGTAGAGGAGTTAAATGCTCCAATCTCTCCTCTAGAGATTGAAACTGCAATTTTTTCCTTTCCCAACAACAAATCCCCAGGCCCAGATGGCTTCCCTAGGGAGTGGTACAAAGAATACACCTCCCTCATTGCACCTAAATTACAACAGTTGTTCTCGGCCTGTCTGAAATCAGGGGGCCTGCCCTGTCCATGTGTCAGGCTCACATTGTCCTGATTCCTAAGCCAGGCAAAAATCCACGTCATTGTGCCTCCTACAGGCTTATATCCCCAATAAATTGTGATCTTAAAATATTAAGTAAAGTGCTGGCAGCCCGGCTTATGAAGGTTCTTCCTTCTCTAATTAATATTGATCAAGCCGGGTTTATACCAGGTAAGACAACTGACATAAACTTGAGAAGGGTGCTTAACTACCTGCAGCTCCCCTCAGAGGAATGTACCACCAGAGTACTGGTAGCCCTTGAGAAGGCCTTTGATACGGTCTGCTGGTGGTACATGGGTGAGGTACTGAATCACTTCGCTTTAGGCCCGGTATTCCAAAAATGGTTTAGGTTGCTTTCCAAATCCCCTGTTGTGTGGATCAGACTGGCAGGGGTGCTTTCCCCTCCCTTTCAGATTCAACGTTGGACAAGGCAGGGGTGCCCGCTCTCCCCTGCGCTGTTTGCACTTGCATGGAACCGCTTGCCGAGGCAATACGCCAGTCTGACAAAGTGTTGGGTATATGTGTTGGGAATATCACTGAAAAATTAGCTTTGTATGCAGATGATCTAACATATTTTTGCAGGACCAGGGCCCATCGTTGCAGGAGACTTTGGCTATACTCTGCACCTTTGCCACCTACTCTGGGCCCCGCACTAATTGTGACAAATTGCTCATTTTGCCTATAGACCTTGGTGCCCAAAATGCAGTGGAACCATCCCTAACCCTACAGTGGACCATTTCCCTGAAATATTTAGGCATTTTTATCTGAGGTGAGAGACTATTGTCGACTAAATTTCAAACCAGCAGTGCAGACCATCAGGCAGAGGCTAAGGGTCTGGGACAATCTCCCCTTAACCACACTTGGGCGTATAAATCTAGTAAAAATGAAAATACTGCGTATACTACTCTATGCCTTGCGTCATTCTCCAATCTGGATCCTGAAAAAATGTTTCTGCCATCTTCATTCTTTAATAAAGTTAATTTGTTTGGAGATCTTGCCCCCTGAGATTCAGTAGAAACATACTCTGTCGGCCTTGGATGCAAGATGGCCTGGAGTGTCCATATTTCTATAAGTATTTTCTGACGTCCTTACTCACCCATGTGTGTAATTGGGTCAGTACTGATGACACCAATGCATTAGTGATCCTGTAAGCCACTTACCTTGGCTCTTATGAAACCCTTAGGAACCTGCCGTGTTGTGGCCCTTGAGTCCCATTTCATTGCCTCACTTTCTCCATGAAGGCTGTACTTAAGGATTGAAAACTTGTCCTTACGGCCCCTCCGGCCTCCTGGTCTCCGTACACTCCCCTATGGTTCAATCCGCAGCTCTCTGAATTCTTAACTATCCCAGACCCCTCTCTTTGGGCTTCCAGGGGGATTAAATACCTGGAAGATATTTGTGTCAGGGGCAAACTCATCACTTTGACAAATTAAAACAGTTCCATGATCTCCCAAATTCTATGTTTTTTCCGATTCCTGCAGCTCCACCATGCCACTTACTCCTCGCAATTTGGGCTTCACCCACCCTCCACACTTACTTCCAGATGACTTGGAGACCCTATTATGTGCTGATGATTTAGTCAGGCTCTGTCCATTGTCTATAGAGCTCTAATGCCCTCCGTCCACATACTGATCTCAAATCTCTTCGACAGAGGTGTCGGGCAGAGATGCTGGAGCTGAATGGGGAGGACTGGGAGGACATTTAGGAATACCCCTTTACTCATTTGGTAGCTACGAGGGATAAGCTAATTAAATTCAAAATACTTCATATGGCTTATTTCACTCCACAATGCCTCCATAGAATTTACCCTACTGTGGAGCCGAATTGCTGGAGATGTGGAGACACCCCTGTGGGCTTTTTCCAAAGTTTTTGGTCCTGTCCTGTCCTGTCCTGTCTGTGGTCTCCACTACACATCCCCCTCCTGCTTGGCCCAATCCCCTATTCTTTTTTTTTGGGGGGGGGGGGGGGGGTTAGGCTCCAATATAGTTAGTGGTTATTAAGTACCTGATCAATCTAATGTCCTTGCTAATGCTTCCAAATTCTGTATCTGATTGTTCCAGTTCCTACTGGTATACTCCTGTTCCTTGTCACTGAGGATTGTTCGGGTGATGGAATGAGGGTGTTAATGTAGTTGTGTTGTTTTTTTGAGCTGGGGAATGCCTCATGGCTATGTTTGTAACCTCTTTTAATTAAAAAAACATAAAAACCAACCCCTGCCCCTCAGGAGAGCTGTCAAACCTAAGCTATGAGGCTGAGTTAAGGACTTCAGTTTGTGTTGGTTGGAGATTCATGTCCAGTACTCTAAACTACCACCATGTTACAAAAGATTGTTAGTAATGACTTCTAAAACATATGCAAGAAGCTATTGCTGTTTTAAAATAGACTGGGAGACTGTTATCTTGTTTTAACATACTAAAAGCCAAGCTCTATGGCTGGATCCCATTTGGATACATTTCTTCACATTTCCTTTTAACTTTACAGGAAAGACAGACAGTGAAGGTAAATCAGCTCCCTGTCTATTTGATGGGTGTCAGACATAAAAGGAAGTGAGGGAGAAATACTTCAGTAAGGCATAGGCTACAATAAAATCACATTTTCTAGTAGATCAACAATGAATCTCTGGCAGCATTTTGTTGTTGCCCCTGTTCCCATAAGGATGACTGTTAGACAGAAATGGAAGACAAGCAACTATGAAAACAAAGATGGTTTACGTCCCAGACTTTTTCAGACCTTTGCATTGCATTAACACTTGCATCTTAATTTGTGTAAAATGGGCTGCCAATACACAACAATGATCCAAAAAGTCCACATGACCATTTTGCTTATGAACATCATGTGCATTTTGATGCACTGATGTGCCTTTACATTGATCACTGCTGCATAGTGCCTTGAAGGGTCATTAACAAAGAATAGCACAGCACTGCGGTATTCACATTACCGTGCTTTGTAGTTATGCATGTTTTACAGTGCATTATCACAATGCACAAGTTTGAATGGGCCCTTAAAATCTTACATACAAATCTCTCACCAGGAGACAATTTTTGGCTGGAGTTGTGCATAAACATGATCTTTATATTTACATCAAAAACTAAATCTGAATCCCAAAATTGCACAAAACACTTATTCAGCCAACTAACCTGATGATTCATCTATCTTGTCCTATCCACTCAATATTGGGGGTAACCTGTGGGTACCTGATTTCCAACAGGATGCTAGTACAGGTGTCTACTGCTTTAACTATTTATTCTAACTTGTGTTATTCATATTTTCTTTTTCCTCTAGAAACAATACACAGCAGATTGGGATGAAGATAAAACAATGTATTTTCCTTACTCTGATAGTCCAGAACTGAGAAGAGTTGCTCAGGCACAGAAAGCTCTAAGCGATGTAAGTTTAGCCAAAAAATATTGCATAACATTAATATGTTTCAATAATTGTGATATAGTAGACCTTCTAAAAATTGTAAACAAAAATGTCAGGCTTTTATTTTTTCCTATTATCCCATTGGGGTGATTTTCCTCACTTCCTGACCCTGTGAGGTCTGTACAGGGGACAGGAAGACACAGAAATCAATAGAAACATCAAACATTCTAACTTTTCCTCATGCTGCTTAAAATGTGTTTTCTGTGTCCCCATTAGAAAAGGTTTCCATCACTTCCTGTTATACCAGAAAGTGAAGGAAAATCTCCCCAAAAGGGATACCAACAGCAATAAAAGTATGACAAAGGTTCCAGTCTTTCCCTGATCTATCCAAAACAAAACAAAACAAGTGTTAGATGGAACTGAGTTTTAACAAATGTCTGTCATCAACCACCTTTTGCATATCATTAATTTTAAATTGTCTTCCAAACAGATCAATTATAAGAAAGGACATGATGAACAGAAGCTGAAGTTCACACAGCTGGCTGATCGACCTGACATAGAAATGGCCAAGAAAGTGACACAACAGCTAAGTGATGTAAGTTTTGCCTATATATCCTTCTGCCACTTTTGGGCATTATTTTTTATTCCACCTCTTTCATGCTCCTTCTTTCTACCTTTCCTTGCCTCCATTCTTCCTCTTTTTCTTCCATCCCACCCTTCCTTTTATTTTCATTGGGCTATTTTCTGAAACCCCGTAACACGTGTTTTCTACCACAGATCAAATATCGTGAGGATTATCAGAAAAAAGTGAAAGGCAAATGGAGCCAGACCCCGTGTTACGAAATTGCAGTCGCCAGAATGAATGCAGATAATCTGAGTGCTGTGAGTATATCAAAGACAATGTATATAAATAGTGCAGCGCTTATAAATAATAGGTAAAAAGAAAAGAACAATAAGTCCTTAATAGATCAAATATTAAATATAAAAAATTATATAAAATTTAAATTAAAGGATATGGAACAGTCCAGCAAATATATTGGTGAATATGAGAAAACAAGGTGACTTAGATATCCGTGTGATAGTGGTAATGGAATGCGCACTCACCGGACGCGCATATTAAATGCGCCTTATATACAATTATCCTGATGCTTGGTAATGGGTGGTCCTCCCTCTGTGGGGTCCCGGGTAGGTGGTCCTCTTTCGCAAAAAAGGGGGGTCCTCCTGTGTAATCCTGGTGGGTGCTGTCTCTCCTGGTGGCCTGGATAGTGGGTGGTATTCCGTCCTCAAAGCAGATCTGCGGGCTAGATCACTCCCCCAGGGGGCAACAAGAACACTCCCATAGTGTAGTATGTTATAAAGGCTTTATTAAAAATGCATCAGGGTAAACATAGAATAAGTAAAGTTGCAGACAGTAATCTGAAAAGAGAAACTGACCAGCTGGTATGCTAAGGCCATGGCACCGGAGCTCCACGTTGCTCTGGCGGCGTGACGTCACAGCGTGGTGTGGCGTGACGTCATGCCACCGGAGCAACGTGGAGCTCCGGCGGCCATCTTAGCATACCAGCTGGTCAGTTTCTCTTTTCAGACTACTGTCTGCAACGTTACTTATTCTATGTTTACCCTGATGCATTTTTAATAAAGCCTTTATAACATACTACACTATGGGAGTGTTCTTGTTGCCCCCTGGGGGAGTGCTCTAGCCCGCAGACCTGCTTTGAGGACGGAATACCACCCACTATCCAAGCCACCAGGAGGGACAGCACCCACCAGGATTACACAGGAGGACCCCCTTTTTTGCGAAAGAGGACCACCTACCTGGGACCCCACAGAGGGAGGACCAACCATTAACAAGCATCAGGATAATTGTATATAAGGCGCATTTAATATGCGCGTCCGGTGAGTGTGCATTTCATTACCACTATCACACAGCTATCCAAGTCACCTTGTTTTCTAATATTCACCAATATATTTGCTGGATTGTTCCATATCCTTTAATTTAAATTTTATATAATTTTTTATATTTAATATTTGATCTATTAAGGACTTATTGTTCTTTTCTTTTTACCTATTATTTATAAGCGCTGCACTATTTATATACATTTTCTTCTTTATAGGTCATTGGTACCTTTTTTCCGTGCATAGCAGCTTGTTGACTCCTACTAAGGCGCTTATACTACTTTTTATACAATATCAAAGACAATGCTGCAGAAGATGGTAACCTCATGCTTGCCAACCTCTGTAGAGCTTCCAGCATGCCCTCCTGGATATCGTTTTCAGCTCTTATAAAGCCATAATCAAATGTCAGCTCCTGAATCAATTCTAACTAATTTCCTTCTTTCAACAGAGAAAGTATCAAGAAGACTTTGAAAATGCTAAAGACCAAATCTACTTCATGCAGACAGAAACCCCAGAATATAAGACTAACAAGAAGGCAAGACTGAACGCTAGCACGGTATGTGAAAGCCACTGTAATAAAGATATATGTTACATTAATGTTTATTTCTCAGCAGTTTGCTTGGGGTTTGGGTAATACCTTTAGTAGCCAAATTAAGGTATTAAATATGTAAGCTTTTGGAATGTCTTAGATCCCCTCTATAGGTTTTTTATGTATAAAGCCCGAGGAAAGGGATATAAGGCACCTCAAAAGCTTTCACCTTTAATTTAAGCTAGCCAATAAAGGGTATCACTTAAACTTCAAACTTTCTGTATTAACCAATGGCTAACACAGTACAATACTATTGTTTTCTCAACAGTCTTTAATCCATTTTTTTACAGGTGAAATACAAAGAAAATTATGAAAAGGCCAAGGGACCCACAGCTTACCATACTCTTCCTGCCACAGAAAATCCCTTACTGCGGCAACTCAGAAATGCTGGCAATGCCCTGAGTGATGTAAGTTATAGGCCCACAGAAACACCATGCACCTTTGGCCAAATAGCACAAAACCCTACAGACACACTTCAAAATCACATGGAGAGCCTTCCCATAAGAGTGGAGGCATTTATAGCCGCAAAGGGTGGGGGTGAACTCCACAATAATGATAATAGTTTTGAAATTAGATGTCCAACAATATCGTATATGACAGTAATTGTCAGGTGTCCACAACATTTTGGCCATATAGTGTATATGAAGACCTCGAAGAGAGATTTATTCTCCCTGTATTTCCTGTATCAAGTCACTAGGATTTGGACCTGAGGGGATGGCACGTATTTGTCTGTATATGGTGGGTGAAACTGGTTGAGGAGCTCTCACAACTCACAACTTGTAACATGTTGCAATCTTAATTCCTGCTTTTTATTTCTTCTTTCCTTCTCAGATATTGTACAAGAAATCTTATGAAAAAGCCAGAGGAACCAGTATTAATTACTGTGACACCCCCAAGTTTCAGCTTGATAATGTCCTGAGGAACTTCAGTGATGTGAGTATTGTCCACAGTTTCTGATGAACCGTAGTCTAAGAAATAATGATTGGAGTTCTTGGAAATGATATCACTAACTGGGAACATGGGATGCTTCAGGATCTTATTTTGGCTTCAAAATAAGTAGAATAGAAGAGTAAAGAGGAGAGTGCCTGGGGGGGGGGGGGGGGGGGGAGACACATTACATGAGATTTAGCTGGCTTATAAATATGAGATGGTGGTCAGGAAATGTTATTTATATGATCAGACATTAATTTGAACACATATCTTCTGGGCATTCTTAGCTTTGTTCTCTGCGGACACTTCTGTTGCTGATCATGTTTTGGTAAGTCCACCCTAATTGGTCAGTTCTTGCTTCAAGATGAGTCCAATATAGTGTAGTCTTTAGAGGTCACAGAATGGTCAACAGAAATAAAACTGTTTTATGTACAAGGTACTTGGTTTCCTCATGCTCTAACAAAATTATTTTTCTGACAGGGCTGGGACTAGGGGTGGGCGGGAAGTGCGGCTGCCCTGGGTGGGGTTGTATCGGATGAGGTGGGGGTGGGGGGCGCTACGTGGAGTCTTCCTGCCATTTCACAGTGACAGAATTATTGACAACAGCAGTACTGCTACCGTCAGCATTGAGCTGGGAGAAGGTTTGCTCTGTGCTCTCTCTCCTCTAGGTTCTTGGGACAGTCAGATGAGGACTTTGCAGTGTTTGCTTACCTGCCCCATCTCCTCCCAGCAAAGAATGTGGGTAGGTGGCGGGTAAGCAAACCCTGCTCAGTCCTGATCTGACAGCCAGAATCATCTCTGGTGCGGGTCCCCGCAGCCCTTATCTCATACCCCCCCCTCCACCATTGCCTGTTAAAACTGTGCAAAGCAGCTTCCCCTAGGCTCTGCCTCAACTGTGAGGTGTCAATTTGAGGAGGAGCCGGGGAGGGAGAACATCCCACATACATCTGCGCTGTATCTGAGGCCTGTGGGGGGGGGGGGGGGGGGGGGGGGGGGGGTCTGTACTGGGGACACAACTGGAATGGGGTGGAGGGAGGAGAAAGTAGCATATACTTGTGCTGAGGATGAGAACATTTGTGCTAGCAGGGGGAGGGGGAAGTGAATTAGTGATAGGAGGAGGGGTTGGGGGGGGGGGGTATATGCTAGGATTGGCGGATTTGTGCAGGAAAAGGGGGAAACTTTGTGCTAGGAGGCAGGATTGGAAGAGGATTTATACTAGGAGGAGAATTTTGGGTGGCGGTTAAGATTCGTTCTAAGAGGGGAAATTTGAGGGAAGGAAGAGAACTTGTGCTGGAGGGTGATTTGTAGAGGATCTGCTAGGAGGTGTGATATGGAGGTATTTGTGCTGGAAGGATGAATTTTGGGGTGGCAGAGGGTAAGATTTTTGGGGAGAGGATTTTTTGCTGTGGGGAGAATTGGGGGATTGGGGGGGGGATTTGTGTCAGGAAGGGGGATTTGAGGGAGATGATGTGCTAGGTTGGGGGGATTAGTGGTGAAAAAGGGGAATTTGGGGGGTGGCAGGAGTAATATTTGTTCTAGGAGGGGAAATTTGTGTGTGTGTTGGGGGGGGGGGGAATTTGTGCTGGGGGTGATCTGGGTGGGGGGGATTGGTGGGGATTTTTGTTCAGAGGGACAATTTGAGGGGTCAAGGGTCAAGGATTTGTGCTAGGAGGGGGAGATTTGTGAAGGGAGAGGCAAAGATTTATGCTGGGTTGGACATTGCATTGGGGGAAGGGGATTTGTAATGGGACAAGGGAGAATTTTGGTTTGGTGAGAATTTTGTATTTTAAGGGAGTTTATGCTTATGGAGTAAGCATGCAGATTAGTGCTTAATGTTTTTGGGGGGAGGGATTTTTGCTAACACAATGCTCATACTTTTTAGGGGGGGCATTTGGAATCTTTTCCCTGGGAGCTAGATGGCACTGTTGTCTGATATAACATAGTGTAAAGAAGACATCTCATTTACAAACACTTCATACAGATTTTGCTGTGGGCTTACTAGTGCTCAGTGTATGATATCCTGATACTTTAGGGAGAGGATAATAGACCACATCCTGCAAAATGTCTTAGCTCACAATATGACTTCATTTTATCTGAGCTGTTGAGGTGGACAAGCTCCTCTGCATTCATTATTATAAACATTGTTGGGATTTGAAGGACATTTATCATTAAATGATCATTAAAAAATAAAATATAACGTTCGGAGCCAGGGAACAATTCTCATAAGGTTGCAGCGTACGCCAGTGACTTGATGTTATATTTGTAACGCTCCCGGAAACCTCTCTGCCTATTCTATTGCAAGAACTTCTGCACTCTGCATCTCTCTTGAATCATATACGATTAACGTAGGGAAGTCCAAAGCAATGAATATAAATATCCCAACATACAAATTTAGAGCTATTCAAGCAAATATTTCATTCAGAGTGGGCATCCATTACATTTTGGTACCTGCATGTTAACACTATACATCCATTACAGACATTTTTAAAGAAAACTTCCCACCACTAGTAGCAGTGATTTGTTCAGTCCTAAATCTTTGGCATTCTCAATCCTTTACTTGGTTTGGAAAAACATTTTAAAAAATATTCTTTATAGGCTTCTGTACCTTCTACAAACCCCCACAGTCCACATTCCCAGGGCCTTTCTTTGCTTCGTCAAGACAGAGCTCATTACCTTCCTTTGGTCCTATGGGCTAGGAGGCTCTCTTATCGAATACTGTCTATTCCTAAGATGTGGGATGAAATGGGGTTTCCTGACCCCTTTAAATACCACCAGGCAGTGCATGTGAGCAGAGTCATTGACTGCATTAAACACAGTGCCTTTAAACGTTGTGTGGGCCTGGAGAATAACATGGTTTCCCTTCCCATACCAACACTATCCTGGCAATTTTCACTCCTGTCTGCTGTTAAAGCACTTCCAATAATAAGTACTACTCTGGTGGTATTATTGAATGCAAGGTGTCTCTTGCCTTCTCCCTCAGGCCTATCTGGAATGTCTCCGGTTACTGGTTCTACTGGATTTGCTCCTAGCCTTTCAGATCCACATTTCAGACCATTCTTAACCTCAAACCAATTCCAACTTCAGAATTTTTTGGAGGGCACTAGATGGAAATCTATTACAGATATCCAATCCATGGTAACCACTCACTGTTATTTTGGCAGGCATTCCAAATTAAACATTTTCTCTCTTCCATCATAACGTTATTGTTGGTCAGCATCTTCTTTTTGAAAATGATTGCTCTGACTCCATCCTTCACCCTCACACCAGACGGTGCACTTGTGGTTTACCGTGATTACAGCAGCACCTGAACATGCGGTTCTACAATTTTGTCATTATAGCAGAGCTTTTTGAAATCGCAGGCAGAATTACGACGATTCTGCCTGCAATTCAAAACTCCCATGTGTGAATGCATCCTTAATGATTCTCTAATTTCTAATGCACTCCAACTGGCCTTTAGTCCATCACATATCTTGCAATACCTATTGCTCAATAAATCCCCAGATATCTCTGCTCTCACTCTCTAGGAAGTGGTGATTAGAGGGCACTGTATACTGAACTGAAGGCTACATTCACACATGGCTGTTTTGAATCATGGGCAGATTCTGCCTGCAATTTCAAAAAGCTCTGCTAAAATGACAAATCGTGGAACCACCTGGTGCGATTCTGCTGCAATTCTCACATGATAAAATGCTCTGCAATCGCCGAACCACATAGAGACCAACAGAGTGTTCTAAAATCATAGTAAATCTGTAATTTCCAGAGATTCAAAATTCTCATGTGTGAATGTAGCCTTAAGCTGCTTCAGCTAGAACTGGAATTTCAAGACAAAACTCAAATGTTTATTCAGGTCCCCTCTGAACATAACAGATTAGCTTTGGGGGAAGCAAGGAGATACCTAAATTTACTTCTCTCTGACTGTGCCAAAATGTCCCTTTGGAGAATGAAACATGTTTATTATTTTACGACCAATAAACAGGACACATTGCTAGACACTAAACTATCCTGAATTGTCATTTAAACCTTATCATCTCCAAACGGGTACACAATCTTTCATCAGTAAACCAGCTAATTATGCAACTTTTTAAATACCATCAATTTTTCACCTCCATGTCTTCACAGCTGTGAAGCAGATGATACCACAGGCATGGTTGTCTGATACGTTACCAACATCCAAAGTTACCTCCCACATGCAATGGGCCTAAGTCAATGAAAAACACATGGCCAAATTGCAAGGAACCATGGAAAATTTCAGAGTTTGGGATCCCTGGGTTTCTCTTTTTCTCCCGAGGGACTTTGACCGTCACCTTCTTGAACTCTAAATTTTGGATTGATCTTGGTAGGGGTCTCCAGGCTGGGTGGTGTTACCCCTTGACCACCTCTCTCCCTCCTCTCCTTCTCCTTCCCTTCCCTCCACCTCCACTTTGTCCATTTTCTTCTTTTTCTCCATTCCTTTTTCTTTCTATTTCCACAATACAGAGTGCTCATTGGCATAATTTTTACTGGGGCCAGGTCCTTACTCAGGATCCTTGTGATAACACTACCTATATGGTCTGTTACTATTTTCTCTACTTACCTGTTGTTGTTGCTCTTTATATGGATGTTTATAAGGCTGACACTTTGCACTGTATTATTTGTTTATGCATGCTTTCAGTGATCAGAGATGTAAACCTATACAATATGTTTTCAAAGTTCTTAACTGAAGTGCCTTGTTGTATTTGTATCTTTTTATTAAAAGCAATAAAAATACTGAGCAAGAAAATTACTGCTCTGATGATGGAAGGATTCAATAAAAGTTTTAATTTAAAAAAATAATAATTTATATATACATATATATATATATATATATATGGCAGCACAGTGGCTAAATGGTTAGCACTTCCACCTGGCAGTACTAGGGTCGTTGGTTCGAATCCCAACCACGGCACCACCTGCCTGGAGTTTGCATGTTCTCCCTGTGCCTGTGTGGGTTTTCTCCGGGTACTCCGGTTTCCTCCCACACTCCAAAGACATGCTGGTAGGTTAATTGGATCCTGTCTAATTTGGCCCATGTATGGTATGGTGTAAGTTAGGGACCTTAGATTGTACACCCCTTGAGGGTTAGGGACTGATGTGAATGTACAATATACATGTGTAAAGCGTTGTGTAAATTGACGGCGCTATATAAGTACCTGAAATAAATAAATATCACACTAGTATGTACAGTACAAAGACAACATGTTCGGGCTGGTAAGTAATCCAAGAAAAAACAACTTTATTACTACTAAGATTAAATTTTTTTAGGTTTTTTTTTCGTAGTTTGGTAACTTAACCAGGAACAAACCACACAGCTGATTAGTGATTTGCTGCAACTCCTATTTATTAAAGTCTCTAAATAAACAACTTTCTCAATAGCAATCAGCCAGATTCAAATGTTTATTCTCAATTTTCGAGAAAAAGTTTGTGTCTGATTGGTAATTGAATCTTGGGGTAAAACAGACTAATCACAATGGCTTTAAATAATTGAGGTCAGGTTCATAGGTGGTGAGGAAGAGAGCATGTTATAAGTGAATTTTCATTCATCTTACATGAGGTGAAATGAAAGACAGTAAAAATTATCTGAAAATCTTTGCAAAGAGAAAGGACACCCAATCACGTGCAAAGAAAAGGAAAAAAAAAAAACCTTGATTTTTGCTTGCACATAATTGGATGATTGACGTTAATACAACATCACCTCATTTACATAGCTAAGTTACTTTCTCTTTGCAAATTTTCACTTAGTTTAGTGAATATAGTTAATTTTTTCTGAATTCGATCATCGATCATATGCATTAAAAAATCCTGTTTTATATTTCTTCTTGCACATGATTGCGTATGTATAAAAAAAAATCATACTCTACTCTGTAGTAAATCAAAGTATTATTCACAATAAATGTCATTTATAATTACTTGTGTTAATGATTTTATCTCTGTTTCAAATTTGTTTCATCCTGCAGCTTAAATACAAAGATCACTATCAAAAGAATGTTCAGGGACATTATATTGGCAGCTACGAGAACCCGTATATGCTTCACTGCGCCAAAGTCAATACTTTAATAAGCGATGTAAGTAAACTCTACCTGTACTTGTCAATGTATTTTAGTGCATCATGACACAAATCCTAAAATATAACTATTTTAATGTTCCTTTTAGAAAAATTATAAAGCGGATTATGAAGAGGACAAAACCAATTGTTACTTCCCACAGACTGTTACGCCAGAATATGAAGCTACTAAGAAACTTGGTCAATGTAGAGATGTAAGTATGCAGTTATTGGGAAAGGCTGCAGAGTTAAACCTCCTAATTTCTCAAGCTTTTCAGGAACACTTAGTGGAATCTCTAGGCTGATTTTCTGGGTCTGAACACCTTTTCTGCTCATTATGAGGAGTCCCATTCTCCGTCTTGGATTTTTAAAATTAATTTTATACTATGGAGTATATACAAAGTGGGTGGAAACACTTGAGGATTGATGGATCAAAAATATTCCAAGCGTATGTCTCACAAAAAATGTACTTTTAGCATGAGGCATGGCACCACAATTTAAAGCTGATCTCCATGTTTCACTGGACGTTAAAGTGTTACTAAACCCACAACAGTAAAATCAGTCTATATATGCAGTTAAGCATGCTTGATATATTCACTGTAGAACCTAAAGGGTTAATCTTCCCCATTGAGTAAAAAGGATGTTTGATCATGTCTTCTCTGATCCTCTCCTTCTTCTACTGTCCCCAGTCCATCTACTGATACAACAGAGACTTGGTGGCAAGCTGCACATACTCAGTTTGGTGTCTATTGCTAGAGAGTTTTTTTTTGGGGGGAGTGTATGTGATCAGCACAGGGACAATCAGCACTGTCCAGACAGAGGGTCAGGGTTCCTGCAGCCTCATAGGACAATAAAGGGAGAATGAAAACTCCTCATGCAAGCTTTAACCAGTACTCTGCTGGACACTGATAGAAGTCATAGGACTGCTCTAATTGCTAATGAGAAAAGGTATTTAGCAGTTTATATTTGCTAAAATAATTTCATTTCCTTGTTCTGTGTACTGTGAGAGACCAGATATAGTGAATGCAGGATCCTGGGTTTAGTAACACTTTAAATAGTTTAACAGTTGCAGTGACTGTGTGCGCTGTATAAACTGTATGTAGCCTTAGCTAAGAGCTGTGTTCGGACAGCTGAACTGAAACTTCCTGTCCCACTCCAGGAACAAAATCGAGTCAGGCTGAGCTTCTCAACCATTTACAGGAAAGTTTGTATTATATGAATTAATTCAAAGCTTCCTCTGATTGGCTAAAGCAGAGGGGCAGGCAGATGATGTCATGAACCCTGCCTTGGCCAATGAGAGGAAGCTTTGTATTGCAATTTGGTAGCCATGCAACACATTGATACATGTTGCCCATTTGCTTTATGAAATTTCCAGTTAGGGAGTTTAATTTATCAGTGTGTTCTTAGAGTTGACTGTAAGAGAAAAATGGAGATTTGCTGTTTTATAGGGAGCATTTAGAAATAGTAATTATAAAAAACAGTGCACTCCCTGTTAATTGAGGATGGCTAGGTACTCAGGTACTAGGTGCTAGTCTCAGGAGCTTTGGAATGAGATTTGGTGATTTCACTATTGTGCTGCTCAATGTTCTTTCTTCTTGCTGGAGGCTTTGACATAAGGAAGCAAAGTCATACCTCTACCAAAGGTGTACAGAGCAAGGCATGGTAAACCAATAATGGGGAAAAGGTCAGCTACTGGGAGACCACAGGCAATACAGATGACTGGTCATTCGCCCTTTGCCTGCCTTTTTTGCACTACTTTTTTGGATGCTCAGTTCCTGTTTAAGACTAGATACTGTGAATTTCTATTAAACTGTAAATATTTCCCCCCTAATTGTTTCAAGTAAATGCAAAAACCTAAGACTCATCAATAGAAGAGATTTAAATTAGTATTTATTGTGGGATTAACCCTTTTCTGATGATCATTTCACTTGCATCAAAGCTAGTCTAAGGGGACTATAGGCAAAATGTTAATTCTATTCTACTAAACAATTATAAATACATTTTGTTTTATATTTAAATATTCTTTTATTGGGCAAGCAAATTAAACATTTACTCTGTAGTATGTATGTTTATTGAATGGACAGTTTTACAACATAGAGAACTTTAACTTTGAATTGCATATATTTCTGAAATCCTGTTTAAAGAATTTTCAGTATTGTGAATGACAGATTCTGTACTATTTTCTTTCAGTACGTCTATAAGAAACATCCGGACACAATTAAATTCACTCAAGTGGCAGATTCTCCAGTGCAGGTTCAAGCACAAATCAACACACAGCAGCTTAGCGATGTGAGTATTAGGCACAGCTTTTGTGTCATTGCATCCAAATACTCATTACGCATGTTCTTGTTGCTTAAAAATACCCTATCACCAACCTAAAAAATTGCAAATAAAAGCACGGAAAAATCGAGAGTTTTAAATGCCTTGTTTTAGTGTTTTTCTTTTTCATAAATTATTTTTATGTGCCTTCGAACTTGCTAAAAATTTTACATCAGAGTATCTAATTACTACAGAGCATCTAATTGTTCTCAATGTTGGCCTAGGTTCTCTACCCCTCCTTTCACTCTAGTTAGGCAGCTCTTGCACTGAAGGGCCTCAACTGAAGCACTATCAGATAGTTTTATGACCATTCTCACTTCTGTGACTTATATCCTTCTCACACCCCTCCCTTTCCATAGCCCACTTCTCTACTCCCTTATCTGATCAACTTTCTCACACTTATTCTCATGTGTGCACATGTGTTATTTTAATTTTTTTTAAAGAGTTTAATGTCTTTTTCTTAACATTTTGCTAAACTATTATGTAGCAGTACATCCTGGACTGAGAAGAAGGGGTAGACCCCCCAAAAGCTTTTCCTGAAAATGTAACTATTAGGTACCATGGACAGTACTCATCAGGGTGGTTGCAAATTTGTGGTTCAGTTCATTAAGGCCCCAACTAGAAATGATGAGGTGCTGGCTCTGTCAATCTCAAGCCTTACGGAGCTTATTACTAATGTTCATATAAAATTTAATCTGGGTAGCAGTGACCATAACATGATTTCATTTCATTTAATGTAAGCTGTAAACAACAAACACATACTGGAAAGATAAAAACACTTAGGATGCTCTCCAAGATTTATACTGGGAGAGATTGTTTTCATTAAAGAACACAGAACAGAAATGTCTATGCAAACACACTGGGAAATATATTACCATGGGCAATACGTTTAAAAGGCTAAATATTAAACCTATGTGGTCCATGTCCAATGTTAAAATTGCTATAAATAATATGAAAAGAGCATTTTAAAATATAGAGATGAAGGAACAGTATAATCATTTCAAAGTTACAAGGAATATAACAGAATATGTGAAAAGGTAATCAAGGCTGTGAAAATTTAAAATTAATGACAGATTGCAAAAGAGAGTAGGACAAACCCCAGAAAATTCTTCAAATATATTAACAGTTAAAAGGACAGGTCGGAGCATGTAGGATAATTTTGAGTTGGCTACTAAGGACATAGAGAAGGCAGGTTTATTAAATACCTTCTTCAGCTCTGTGCATACAAAGAGAAACGGGGAAGCTCAGGTCCTTAATGGGGATAATATAGACATAGTCCCAAATGATCAGCAATGGCTTACAATTGACATGGTCCAGAAACATTTAAACACAATAGAGGTAAATATAGAACCAGAAACAAATGACTTATACCCAAGGGTTCTCAGATAGTTGAGCTCTGTTATATATGGCATTGTTTCTATTTTATACACTCTTTAATGACTGGCATGGTACTACTGGATTGTCATAAGGCCAATGTGGGTGCCTATATTTAAAAAATGATCAAAGTCTTTACCAAGTAACTAGAGACCGGTTAGTTTAAATTTTACAATTGGGAAGATACTTGAGAATTTAATAAAAGAACAGTTTATGCTAGAAAATATTATTTTAAGCAATAGTCAGCAAGGTTGTCAAACAGATCTGGTTTCTTTATATGAGGAGGTAAGCAAAAACTTAGACAAGGGAGTGGCTGTGGATATAGTATACTTGGATTTGGCCAAAGCATTTGACACAGTTCCCCCATGAGGCTAATGTGTAAATGAAGGTCTATAGGCTTAGAAAATTCAGTTTGCAAATGGATAGAGAACTGGCTAAAAGACCATATTCAGAGAGTAGTGGTTAATGATTCATACTCTGACTGGTCTAAGGTTATTAGTGATGTACCCCAAGTTTTGGTGTTGGGACCCTTACTTTTTAACATATTTATAAATGATATAGGGTCTGAGATTAAAAGTACTATTTCAGTATTTGCAGATGACACCAAGCTGTGCAGTAGAATTATGTTCTTACAAGATGTCTCCAATTTACAAGCCGACCTCAATGCACTGTGTAATTGGGCAACTATGTGGGAAATGAGGTTTAATGTTAATAACTGTAAAGTTATGCACTTAGGGGGCTAAATACATGCATGTATCATACATACTAGGAGGGGAAAAGATGGGAAGTCAGTGGTGGATAGGGATCTGGGTGTTCTGGTAGATTATAGACTTAATAATAGCATGCAATGCCAAACTACTTTCTAAAGCGAGCAAAATACATTCTTGTATTTAAAGAGGTATAGACTGCAGAGAGAGTGAAAGACATACTTTTTTTTCCTCTGTACAAATCATTAGAAATACCTCATCTGGAATATGTAGTTTAGTTTTGGGACCAGTTCACAAAAAAGATATTGGAGAACCAGAAAAAGTGCAGAGAAGGGCAACCAAACTGATAGAGAGGCATGGAAGAGTTCAACTAATAACAGGGGATATGATCATCATTTATAAATACAAAAGTGGTCCATATAGTCATCTTTGTTTAGAGTTAGTTGTTTTCAGGTCATTACAGAGGACAAGGGGGCACGCCTTACGTCTGGAGGAAAAGAGATTTAAACTTTACATACGGAAAGGCTTCTTCGCAAGTAAGAGCTGTGAAAATGTGGAATAGACTCCCTCAAGAACTACTTATGGCCAGCTCAGTAGATTGTTTTAAAAAGGAGCTAGATACATATCTAAATGCAAACAATATAACTGGATATTAATTTTAAGAGGTAATAACACCAGGGAATATCTGATTGCCCCCTCAGGGATCGGGAAGGAATGGTGGGTATAAGGATAGTGTATATGGAGGTTTTCTGGCATCAATGGAACTGTATACATTAAACAAAGAGCAGTGATCCTGGAGATAGCACACATCTCATGGGTGTTAGCTATGTGGTACACAGTACATTTTGATGAAACATTTTGCCTGGAGTTTTGTTTTAAGCTAGTATGGCGAAGATTTATGTAGCTGGATCAAGTACTACCCTGACTTGAGCTGTTAGTCTTTTGAACTCAGAGGCAGATCATCTACAAGGCAACTTAGGAAGGAGCCTAGGGGTCCAGTGGATGCCCAGGGGGGCAGCTACAACTTTTAATTTCACAAGAGAGAATGCACTTGTAGGCAGTTGGTGTCTGATGGAGTAGACCATGCAAGTACAAGCAATGACTAAATGAGCATCTTTTTTTTGTGCCTATTGCAATTCTTGACAATGTTGGTCGAACAGATGGAGGGGGATGGGGGGGGGGGGGGCATTTGTTATCTTACATTGGACCCCATTCTGTCTTAATCTATCTATGACTGAACATTATATACTAATAAATCTGTAATTATTTTCTCTCTTTTTTATTAGCTAAATTATAAAGCAAAGCATGAAAAGGAAAAATTCAAGTGTTCTATTCCAGAAGATTCTCCTTTTATACTTCAATCTAGAGTGAACGCATATAACCTCAGTGATGTAAGTATTTGTCTTCTTACATAGGTCCTTCTGTAAACACTTGAAGGTTTAATTACTTGAATGTAATGTTGTGTTATCTATGAACTGTGTAAAAATGAGAAAGGATACAATCTGCAGTTAAAAAAATTAAAAAGACATTTTTAAGCAACTGGAAGCTGGTAGGATAGGTTCCAGATGATGTGTAAAGAGGAAAGGATCGCTGCTACTCCCAACCAGCACATGTGAATAATTGATAAAGAGCAACCTCAGCCTATATGTCTCCACCAAACCACACACCCTGAAACATCTCATCTGCCCACTGACCAAGCCTCAGTGGTCGGGGCAAAATGCATCAGGGTATGTGGCTTGGTGGCCACTCTTTATCATGTATTCACCTGGAATGGGCTACACTTACTAGCCCTCTGGATTGGTATTAGGATAAACCTGCGTCCCATGTTCTTGGACACGAGGATATGCTTTCACCTCTACTTTGAGCAGCGCCAAAGCAATCTAGCAGGTTCCTGATGATATTAGCACTATGCAGCCTATCATAGTCCTGCAAATTTAGGAGTCTGTCCTACTGGTCTCCAATATCCCAACTAAATATAATAAATATAATATAAATATAAACTGTGGCAAGCACTAGGTGGTCTAAACCAGCGTTTTTCAACCACTGTGCCGCGGCACACCAGTGTGCCGTGAGATATTGTCTGGTGTGCCGTGGGAAAAATTGCAATTTCATCCGTAACATAGACCTTTTAATCCGGCCCGCGGAGCGTGATACTGTCAGGATGATCTGTCCCCCTCGACGTATCTGCACATGTGCCGGAGATCGCCGATCAGCTGCTAATGCCTGAAACTGGCACATGCGCAGATACGTCGAGGGGGACAGATCCTCATAGGAGACAGATTTTCATGCTACACCGGAACGGCGCGGGAAGACGGCGAGAGGAACGCGCGGAGCAAAAGTAAGTGAATTGACACAGGGGGGGCTTGGGGACTTAATATGGGGGATGAATTAATATGGGGGATGAATTACTATGGGGGATGAATTACTATGGGGGATGAATTACTATATGGGGGATGAATTACTATGGGGGATGAATTACTATGGGGGATGAATTACTATATGGGGGATGAATTACTATGGGGGATGAATTACTATGGGGGATGAATTACTATAGGGGATGAATTACTATATGGGGGATGAATTACTATGGGGGATTAATTACTATATGGGGGATGAATTACTATGGGGGATGAATTACTATATGGGGGATGAATTACTATATGGGGGATTAATTACTATATGGGGGATGAATTACTATAGGGGGGATGAATTACTATATGGGGGTGAATTACTATGGGGGATGAATTACTATGGGGGATGAATTACTATATGGGGGATGAATTACTATATGGGGGATGAATTACTATGGGGGATGAATTACTATATGGGGGATGAATTACTATGGGGGATGAATTACTATGGGGGATGAATTACTACATGGACGATGAATTACTATGGGGGATGAATTACTATATGGGGGATTAATTACTATGGGGGATGAATTACTATATGGGGGATGAATTACTATGGGGGATGAATTACTATGGGGGGATGAATTACTATATGGGGGATTAATTACTATGGGGGATGAATTACTATGGGGGATGAATTACTATATGGGGGATGAATTACTATGGGGGATGAATTACTATATGGGGGATTAATTACTATGGGGGATGAATTACTATGGGGGATGAATTACTATATGGGGGATTAATTACTATGGGGGATGAATTACTATGGGGGATGAATTACTATATGGGGGATGAATTACTATGGGGGATGAATTACTATATGGGGGATTAATTACTATGCTTACTATGGGGGAATATTACTATACTTACTATGGATGACACATACACATCATTCATCTACTCTTGGTCCGGCCCCCGGGTCCAATTATAAAATACTTTATTATTTCATAATAAAGTAATTATAAAATAATTTCTTTGTGTTTGATTCCTATTCAAGAGAATTACTTTATAAATAGTCAATATAGGCACAGAGATAAATTTTTTTAACATTTTCTAATGGTGGTGTGCCTCGTGATTTTTTTCATGAAAAAAGTGTGCCTTTGCACAAAAAAGGTTGAAAAACACTGGTCTAAACGGTGTCTGTTAAGAATAGAAAGCATTGTGGATGCCGATTGCATATACCAACCGGGCTAAGAAACAATATGCTGGGAAGATGCATCCTGGCTGATCAACTTACTGCTGAGCAGGCTCAACTACAGAGCCTCAGCCAGGTTCACTGAGGATATTTAAATTATGTGGATGACTCTGACCCGATTATAAGCAGCTAAATCAGGTGAATATTCTATAAAGTCTGTATACACCTAGACTCAATTATATCTCTACTCTCACACCTGTTGAATGCAATCTTAACTCTTCTGATTTGGATTTACATTCCTTTATGTATAGCAGGTATCAAGTTAATATGAATGGGTCTTTGCAGGTTACAAGTTCTATCTCAATCCTTTTAGACTTAATAGGGTGCTTTGTGCTTTTGTACTCCGGTACAGTCGGAAAAACTGCTCTGTTTGTGTGTGTGGGCTAGCCTGGCTTTCTAAATTGATGTCTTCACTTCCCTCCTATTCTTTGCAATTATTTCAGCAAGTGAGAAGTAAAGGAGAAAAATGTAGACAAGTGTAACTAAAACAGACCTGGGGGTTTCAGACCATGGCATCAGTCTCTCTTTACTGTTCCTCTCTTGTGATTATGATGACAGCACACATTCCTGGGTCTATATCAGGCTCTGTACTCAGGGATAGAGGATGCAGAGGAATCCCACATTCTGAAGTTTTAAAATGCCAATGATAACCTTTGAAATGTATCTGGCAGCTGACACAAGACAAATCTTCAACATGATAGATGAGCTAGACAGACAGATAACTTGATGAACTAATGTTGAATATAACACAATTTCATTTATTAGTAAGGTTCATTGTCAGATTGTTTTAAATAATTTGATATGCTGTTAAAGGGTGTTGCCTACTGTTTTGCATAATATGAAGATTTCAACAGCAATCAGATCTAACATCAACAAAGAAAAGATAGATAGATAGATAGATAGATAGATAGATAGATAGATATATATAGATAGATAGATAGATAGATAGATGTGACATATTTAGAGTTTAGTAGTAGGTATACTGTATGCAGATGATAGACACATACAGACATTAAATCAGTCAACATATTTTAAAATTTTTCTTACAGAACTGGTACAAGTATGACTGGAATAAATCAAAAGCAAAGAAATTTGAAATTAAGATTGATGCTATTCCACTGGTGGCAGCAAAAGCAAACAGAAAGAAGGCCAGCGACGTGAGTACAAATTCATTATCTTTTTTACTGTGTTGGGAATGCATGTAAGAGCATTGGCTGATTTGGTTGATTTACTAAAGGTTATTAGGCTGTTCACTTACCAAAGTTGTTTTTCACTTGCTTGGGAATTTTCACTTAGGTTAATAAATGTAGTAACATTCTGCTGACTTTAATTATCCAATCATGTCCAAGCAAAAATCCAGTTTTCAAAAATGCTCCTTGCACGAGATTCAGTATTCATTACAAAAGTGATTTTTTTTTTTTACCACATTCACAGGTAAGTGAAAATTCCCTTCCAAAATGAAAATTCAAGGTGAACATGCTCTACTTCCTCCATTTACACTATGCATTGCATTACTGCATGTACAATAATGCATGCTTTAAGGCACAATGCATTAAGGCAACCTATTAATTTTGTCAAAACACCTCAACACACCCCAATACATTCCTGCCCTATTCTTAGCAACACAGTACAACGAATATCCATAGACGTGCATTGTAGTGAACTTTAAGTCAGGTGCATTTTTCTTTACTGTATGTGTGCTTCAAAATGATTGTCATAGAGATACCCATGTATTAATGTGTTTTGCAGTAATGCAAAGTAAAATGTGTATTTCACTGAGCTATACCACACAGGGATAGTGTGAATGGGTCCTGGCAGTGCTAAGCACAACACAAACTGTGATGTTAGTTCAGATACAGAAATGAGAAATGGGAAAATAACATTTCCCTGGCTATTGTAATAAACTGTGTTTAAACATTTAACACATATATGTATGAAAGCAAAACTGTGAAAAATTGCAAATTCTAGCTACCACATTTGCAATTAATTCCATTTGTCATTTGCCATCATTATCTTAGCACATTAATTGTCTTTTTGAATGATTACATCCAAGTATAATCTGACTTTATTCTCTACAGGTGGAATACAAGAAAGATTATGAACGGAACAAAGGAAAGATGATAGGCGCACTTAGCATTCACGATGACCCTAAAATGTTACATTCTGTGAAAGTGGCTCATAACCAGAGTGATGTAAGTATATAGCAATACTATTATTATTATTTTACTTATTAGTATTATTAATACGTTTTATTGATAGCCACCAACTTGCACAAGTGAAACTCTCATTCTGCTGTAGGTACTGTAGTAATTAGCCAGTAGGTGCATGGATAGGAGTGCTTACCAGGGTAACAGGACAACAGAACAGTTTTCTGTTCCAATAGAGTTTAATTCAAATTTTAACATAAGACAATGATATAATCATTATCAAACAAAAATAAAGGAAAAGAGAAAAGGGGGGGGGGGAGAAGAGTTGGATGCACCCTCCAATATAATCCAGGGCCAGATTGTGATCATAATACACCCAAACAAAAAAACAAGTGTAACAGACTGGCCTTGTGAGATATAGCAGCAGTACACCAAGGGTGTGAGGCTCAATAAATGTGGTCACCCAATTGCAAAAGACAACTAAAGATACCATTATGAATGGGCATTACAATAAGTTGTGGTCCAAACATCATTTCAGTTTCACGAAGAGATGAGGGAGTAAGGAAGTCAGGAGATATTCCCAATACCGCTACCCTTAAACATATGAAGGGGGGGTGCTCCAAGGTCTCGCCCTTAACACCCATATAAAATAAGTAATAAGAATGGAAAAGATCAATTATCGTCCATGGATTCTGGATCAGAGTTCCATTAGCTTGTCTAGAACAGAACAGTTTTCAAGGCACACATAAAGTGGTTGTAAATCCTTACATATACTCAGTGAAGTGAATTGCCTACATACGTTGTACGTGTTTATCTGCAGTATTCTCTTCTCTACATCTGTTCAAAGTGCTGAATTAATACAGCTTGTCTGAAATTTCAGAAAAATAATGAGCAGAGAGCTGAAATTAGACACTACACAGCTAATTGAGGAGAGCTCTGAATGCTGATTAGAGGGAAGGGACATGGGAAGGTCATCAGTCTGCTGGAGGTCCCTACTCTGTCATCTTTTTTTCTCTCCGTGTCAGGAAAACATGTCAGAAGTGACTCATGCAGATAGCAGAAGAAGGAGGCAGTAGACAGAAGTAACACTCAGTGCTCTGAATAGAAACAAGTAAACCCTATATAGGGCTATGCTTTGCTCATATTTTATGTCTGAAATTTACAAACACTTCCAGATCAGGTCAAAGTCTTGTTTCAGTTTTTAGTACAGTAGGGTTAGAACTAGGGATAAGCAAATCTGCCCATGTTCTGTTTGAGAACAGTTTTGCAAATCTTGCTCAAATTTCAAAGTTCACAAACTTTGCAAGTGAACCCCTCAGTGTTCCCAAATTCTCATTTGTCTTAGCATGTATTAAAAAGGACAGAGAACTCCCCTTTGCTAAATGACCTTCCATTTCTAATCCAACCAAATTATTTTGTAAAAGCCACACTGGAGCAATCTTCACTAGCACAACCATGTTGTAGCCCTTATTTAGCTCCCAACCTGATCCATTTATAGTCTACCATTAGAGCATTAATGGATGATTGTAAGCCTTCTTTGAACCATACATTTCAAAACACTTCCAATAGTTTATTAAACAGACCAAAATGGAGCAAATAAGGGAAATTCATTGGTAGGGTTAACATTTGCTTTAAGTTAAGCTGCAGGTAATACTATTTTATAACCCACTGACTTTAAAATAGTACAACCTCCTTAAAGAAGAGTTGTGAAGAATATTTCAGACCTCAGATGGAAGCAAAACCTAAAAATACATCAGCTATAAAAATGGGAAGCTGGATAGTTCTTACTGTGAAACAGAATACTGTCTTGCTGTCAGCTGTCAGTAAAACATCAAAATAATATATTCCCCAGTAACATTTTTTAGATAGATAGATAGATAGATAGATAGATAGATAGATAGATAACTAAACAGGAACACATATTAAGTACACTAATAATGAAAAGAAAGATAGGCAAGAATACATTAATAGGCAGCTGCCACATATTAACCAGCAATATATATTTAAAAACAAATACATTTAAAGTTAAGGTTTCTTTCATTTAGTTTGTGCAAAATCTCCTAAAATTATAACTAAGTAGAGGATTTGAAAATACACATGAGTTGAAGCTTGTAGCACAGGTCATTTTGGTTAGTCAAGAATCTTGCTTGTTTAATTGTTACTGTAATTCAAAAGGTTGTAGAATTCCATTAATTTACATACCGTATTTTTCGCTCCATAAGAAGCACCTAGATTTTAGAGGAGGAAAACAAGAAAAAAAAATTCTGAACCAATCGACTGCAGACATAGTACAGGAAATTACCAGAGACTGCAGACATATTACAGGAGATAACCAGAGACTACAGACATTGTACAGGAGATGACAAGAGACTACAGACATTGTACAGGAGATGACCAGAGTCTGTGGACACAGTACAGGAGATGACCAGAGACTGTGGGCACAGTACAGGAGATGACCAGAGACTGCGAGCACAGTACAGGAGATGACCAGAGACTGCGGATATATTACAGGAGATGACCAAAGACTGCGGACATAGTACAGGAGATGACCAGGGTCTGCGGGCACAGTACAGGAGATGACCAGAGACTGCGGATATACTACAGGAGATGACCAGAGACTGTGGACATACCACAGGAGATGACCAGAGACTGCGGACATTGTACAGGAGATGACCAGAGACTGCGGATATACTACAGGAGATGACCAGAGACTGTGGGCACAGTACAGGAGATGACCAGAGACTGTGGATATACTACAGGAGATGACCAGAGACTGCAGACATAGTACAGGAGATGACCAGAGACTGTGCGCACAGTACAGGAGATGACCAGAGACTGCGGATATACTGCAGGAGATGACCAGAGACTGCGGACATACTACAGGAGATGACCGGAGACTGTGGACACAGTACAGAAGATGACCAGAGACTGCAGACACAGTACAGGAGATGACCAGAGACTGCGGACATAGTATAGGAGATGACCAGAGACTGCGGACATTGTACAGGAGATGACCAGAGACTGCGGACATAGTATAGGAGATGACCAGAGACTGCGGACATAGTACAGGAGATGATTAGAGACTGCGGACATACTACAGGAGATGACCAGAGACTGCAGACATACTACAGGAGATGACCAGAGACTGCGGACATAGTACAGAAGATGACCAGAGACTGCAAACATACTACAGGAGATGACCAGAGACTGCGAACATACTACAGGAGATGACCAGAGACTGCAGACATACTACAGGAGATGACCAGAGACTGCGGACATAGTACAGGAGATGATCAGAGACTGAGGACATAGTACAGGAGATGATCAGAGACTGCAGGCCTTTGGGGAGGGGGGGCAGGTACCAAAATTTGACAGGTACCTGCTCTCACTTACACAGAGTTGTCCTCCCCCCTCCCTCCTTGTAGTCTTGTGGAACACGTGACAGGTCCCAGAAGATTACGGGGCCATTCACAAAGTGCAGCGGTTTTTGCTCATGCGCAGTGGGCACCCGGCTGTGAAGCCGCAAGCTGTCACGGCTGGGTGCCCACACTGAAGAGGCCAGCGCCAGGGAGAGAAGATGGCCAATGGAAGCAGGACACCGCTGGACCAAGGAACAGATAGGACAGAGGAGCGGGTTCTTCTGCACAGAAGAGCATTGGGGCTGGCCCGGTATTCTAACATGGCAGCAGTGGGATTCCTGGGCCGTCCGCTCCATATTCGCTCCATAAGGCGCACAGACATTTTCCCCTATTTTGTGAGGGGAAAAAAGTGCGTCTTATGGTAGTTTTATTTGTAACAATTAAACACAAATTGATATTGCGAAAAGATAATATTATAAATACAAATATTTGATGTTTTTGCAGTCTGTAAGTGTATGTGAACACTAGGGAAGGGTTAAAACCACTATCAAGGTAGAAGAGAGATTTCCCTTCAATTCCTGTCCTGGTGACTTCTCTTCCTACAGTATTGTTACAGAAACAACACTTTGGTTCCTATGCAACTCTGCATAGAAACCAATCAGCTTCCAGGTTTTAATGTCAAAGCTGAACAAGCTGAAGTTAAAAGTTGATTGGCTACTATGCACAGTGGAACCAGATTGTTTTGTGCACCAGTTTTAGTAAATCTTCTTCATTCGGTCTTGATGACAATGGTCTCTAGGACAACTAGAAGCATGAATCCCCCTGGGACACATACAACAATACAACTAGACAATGGTCTTACCCTTCCCTATTGCATTTTGTGGGTATAGATTTTTTATGATCAATCTGAGTTTATTGAAGTTTTATAACATTTAACAGAGAAGAAAAAAAAGGGCAAGAATCATTCACATAGACATTAACATTGGTAAAGTATAAAACAACAGAGAATACAGAGTTGGGGTTGGGGTTGGGGAGAGAAAAAAAAAGGGGGGGGGACAAACAGATAAATAAACAATAATAAACATTATTAAACAACAACATCCTGGATCTAGACGACAGCAGTAATTGACAGCAAGTACAAAACTCACAGCTATAGATCAAGTAGCCTATGCAATATAGACAAATTCAAGCCCCAAAGGAGTATAGATAGCAGAGGCAAGGTAAGCAACAAAGTAATAGTAAACCTGTAGAGGGCTTTACCATACACGTCAATAAAGACCAGCCCGGGGGGAAAAAGATGGGGTGTACTAGCGATATCCATGGCTTCATCATCTTACTCAATCTAGTGCTGCAGAGGAAAAACAAAAGGGGGGGGGGGGGGGGGGGGGGGAAAGAGGGGAGGGGGAGAGGAAGTGGAAAAAGGTAGGGGGATATAAGGGGAGAGAGAATAAGAATAGGCTCGCCCGAAGAAAGGCACCCAGGGGGATAATAGATCAGCAGGGACCAGAGGAAAAGAAAACTCCAGTTCTAGCAGCCAAGAGGTTTGCGTAAGTGCAGGTTGCGAAGTGCAGAGGACTCTGTATGTATAGATTCCAGGAGAGCCAGGTCCGGCGACAGCATTGTGAGTGTTCAATTCCTGTGCCAGGAGTGACTCCATACATTCAATATGATCCATCTCCTCGACCCACTCTAATAGAGTCGGGACATGGTGCGTTCTTCAATGGCGAGGGATGAACAGTCTGGCAGCCATCAAACAATGATGTAAAAGTTTGATATGCTTGAAAGAGACAACCAAATTAGAAAGCAGAACAACCTGTGGTGTATTTGGGATTGTCTGGTCTGTAACTGCAGTAAAGATATGCAGGATGAGATCCCAGTAAGCATGGATAGGGGGACATTCCCACCAGACATGGAGCAAGGAGCCAGGGACAGCGTGGCAGTGCCAGCAGAGATCAGGTGTGGAAGGGAATATCCTGTGGAGTAGGGTGGCACATCTATACCACCGAGTGAGCAATTTAAAGTTAGTTTCCTGCACTTTACTGGTCAGGGATAAGCAATGAGTGAGAGGAAATTACTTCAGCCAGTCTTCATCTGATATCTGAACATCAAGATCAGATGCCCATCTAGATGCGTATGGTGGGAGGTCTGGATGGACCCTAGAAAGGAGGATCGGATAGAGAACAGAAAGGGGATGCAGTGGAGGAAGATCTTGGAGGAGCAGGGATTCAAAAGATGTAAGATCTCTGGTCAGTAAGTCCACATTAGAAAAAGTATGTACAAAAGAGCAGAGTTGTCTATATTCCATCCAGTGGGCAAAAAAAAGCCCTTCCCAGAGTGTGAGAAGGTTGGAAAGGAGAGAGACGACACCATGGAGAATTTGTCTTAGTCGCCTGTGTGTGGCTTTGTTCCAGACAAGGAAATGAAAGCGAGATTTGGCTGGGGGCAATTGAGGGCTCCCAAACAAAGGAGTCATAGGATTTGTCCCCTCATGGATTGGTTGTTGAGGCCAATAACATTATCAGAACAGAGCCTAAGAGAAGCAGGGGGTAGTATCCTGGGAGCCATCCTTGGACGACACTAGGAAAAAAAAAGAGAGAAGAAGAAAAGAGGGAGAGAAAAGAGAGAGAGAAAAGGGGGGGGGGGGGGAAGAGGAAAAGGGCAAGAAGAGGTAATAGAAAAGGGAAAGCAGGGAATAAGTGAGGCGAAAATGATGTGGAAGAGAGAAAATTCTTTCATTGGGTTTCAGAGCTGCCCAAAATTGGCAAAAAGGAAAACAAAAGGGGGATCAATGGAAAATTTCCAAAAAATCACTAATCCCTTCCAGAGGGTCAGTGATCCTAAAAGGGGAAGTGGATACGCATGTAAAGAAAAAAATAAATAAATAAAGAAAACCATAAAACAATACATCCCCCCTCCTCCGCTCCCACCACGGGTTAGGACCACCGGCATATGAAGGATCCCAGGTGTGAAGTAGATGTATACAGGCTAGTGAAACAGAACATCCGGGCCATCCAGCCAGGTGCTCGGGAGGGAGAACCATTCCTCAGCAGTGGCCCACAAAAACAAGTTGAGGTAATAACATAAGATTAGGAACAGTCAAAGAGTAAAATCAACCAAACATGAACAATGAGAACCAAACCTTATTGATCACCATAGGGGGCTGGAGCCCAGATAAAAAAACTAGGAGCGGCCAGAGCCCCCTATGGACTGCATGAAGCCAGACAAGCTGGCAGTTCGCATGGCAACCGGACAAACAACGAGTGCCTTATAGCATGCCAAGGTGACAAAGTAGATGGTAGGAGAAGGGAAAGGATTTGGGATTCCCCGGAGGGGTCAGATGGACTGAGGAGAACAGAGACAATTTACATAGGGTAAATGAAACCATTCCCATAGGGAGTCATGGATCTCCAGTGTGTGGATCAAGGTCGCAGATCAAATCTTGGAAGTACTACCCCCGTTGTGTCCCGCTGCCACACACACAACATCCATACACAACAGCGCAAGGGATGCATATCTCACGGCTCGCTAAGGGCGAACTAGGCACTAGACATAAAAGCAGCAATAAAGTGGGAGCCTCCCCCAGTACCCCCCCCATAGGGGAAATAGGGGGGGCCCTGCAGGCTATCATAGGACAATAACCACGGAAGCCAACAAAGACGTAGGCAATTTAATGCTACAGGAATAATCGTAGAGAAATTAAATATCAGATAGCTATACAAAAATAAGAAAACAAAGTAACCAGATGAAGGCCCCATAGGAAAACAAGAAAAATTGAGTAAAAACACTGGGAAAGTCTATATAGATGCACATCAACCGGGGCATTCAAACTCCACAGTTGGCCCAGAGTTTGAAGTATTTGGCTGCACTGGCAGGGAGGCAGGAGAGCGTCCAAATCCTAGTGGTATAGAATTGGCCCATGGCCAATCCAGGGTAGGGAGGTTAGGCAGGTGAAGAGTGGATAGCACCATGGGTATATCAGAAGGACGTCTGATGGTGAATAATTTGCATTCTTGTTGGATCTTGAATTGAAACGGGAAGCCTCAACAATAGATGTTGTGTTCCTGTAGCAAAGCTAGTAATGGCTTTAGAGACTTCCTTTTTTCCAAAGTATGACAAGAGATATCAGGTAGAAGTGTAATGGACTCTCCATCAAAGTCTAACTGGCCTTTCTCACGAGCCTTCCTCATGATGTCCTCCTTGGTACAGGAGAAGTGTATCCCGAGGTTTAGTAGGGTCAGGATTGCGGGGACCTACAACCCGATGCACTCTGTCAATTTCCAGGTCCACAGAGTTGGAAGTGCTCAGGAGGCCAGTAAAGATGCCCTGAACCTTTGGTAAAAAGTCTTCAGTGCCTGTTGCCTCAGGTAGGCCCCTAAACCTAATGTTGTTTCATCGGTTGCAATTGTATAAATCATCATGGAGGAGGAATAGCTGGGCAATTTAGTTTTCATGGGCATCCAAACGCTGCTTCTGAGTCGTTGCAGGGGCAGACAGCAAGTGGCAAGCTTGCTCTAGCTCGGCGGTCTTTGAGCGAGTCACCTGTAACTATGCCTTGAGGGAGTGAAGCTTGGAGCGATACCCCAGTTCACGGCATTTCACATAGGCCTCCATCTCAGTACGGGTAGGTAGAGCATGGAGATAGTCCCGGAGGTCCCAGTCCTCATGCCCATGGCAGTCAGCGAGCGAGGATGGAGTTGACATAGCACGACACTGCCGATTACCCTCAGCAGGCTGCAGGACTGGACTGGGCATAGGTGAGAGGGACTGAGCGCAGATTGAGGTATGGCCTTGTGAACTTACAGCCGCCATCTTGTCCGTGGCACTGGAGGAACAGGCACGGCCGTACGGTGTGAAGAACTCCGGAATGCCATGGCGGGGAGTTGTGGAACCCGGTCCTGGCGGATGGCCGGACGTGCTGCATCCCTTACGGCCCATGGGGGAAAGGAGGCGATGAGGTAGGGTGTCCAAGATTAGTGATATCCCCCGGGTCTCGGCAGGAGCGTGATCAGCAAGTTGCATCTTCCTCCATGCGCAGGCCACTCCCCAGATATATATTTTTTAACTACGATGGACAATTTTCAGTGGAGAAAGGCATTTGATGGAATTTGTCAGATATTTCAGGGAACAAAGCCTGTCAATTGATAAAGGAAAGATAATAATATTGTGGAGTGCAGCACAAAGTTCACTAGGCTACAATGTTCTCCTTGAATCAGATTTTTTTCGTAGGCTGCCTACATCATATGTTTTGCTTTTCCCTGCCTCCAATGGTTGTCCTGAAACTGTTTTTGGACTAATTTATTTTCCTTTGTGTTTTCTAGATTGAATACAAGAAGGACTATGAGAAAGGAAAGACCAAATATTCTGCACCCTTGGATATGATTCGAGTGCAGTTAGCTAAGAAATCCCAAGCTATTGCCAGCAACATTGATTATAAACACCTCATTCACAGTTACTTTTACCCTCCTGACAGCGTTAACCTGGAATTGGCTAAGAAGGCCTATACTATCCAGAGTGATGTAAGTGAACTTACTATTTATACACATTTTATTAAGTGGAAAACACTTTTATCTGTTTATAGCAGTTTCTAGGTAGAAGGATGTAAAGTTACAGGGGAAATATTTATTATTGCATACCTGTAGCTAACTGGATGTTTTTAACCTCTAAAGCTGACCATACATATGTCCATGTACCACCACAAATCAGCTGATTGTGAAGCTGAAACTGGGCAATACATTGACAACCCAATCCCACCTAAGTGTTCATTGCTGCGCATTATTACATACTTGTTAACACACATTATGAACCTGTTAACTTGCTTTGTGTTTCACAACTCATTCATTATGAATAGCCTGCCAACACATGAAAAAAAACATACTTGTACCTTTTTAAAGAATGCATCACACCTCAGTGCATGATATATGCGTTGTTTTGCTCTGCAGTGCATTGTGCTCTGGACCACCAGAATGTGATAGACTGTGAACTTGAGCCTGGGCAATACATTAAGGGCTGTTAATGCACATGCATTATTTATTTCTTATTTTGTGTTTATTTAGTAAATTTGTTCTTTGTTTTCCAGATTGATTATAAATCAGATTATAACAATTGGGTAAAAGGTTGTGGATGGGTGCCTTATGGATCTATGGATGTGGAAAAAGCCAAGAAAGCTGCACAGATTCTGAATGAGGTAATGCAATTCAGTGACAACTTGTCTTAGTATATTTGCCCCCTGTAGAAAAAAGACTTTCATACTGTCTGTACACTAAACACGTGTGTCATTATAGGCTTTATATTCCCATAGCCAATGCTAATTAGTAAAACCATTGTGGTCAGCCTCATTCTGACAGACCAGTCTATCCAGTAAGTTTCCTTCCAATGTTACAGGTCTATATTGTTGCTGTACACAAGCTACATCATCCCATAACCACAGAAGCTATTATTAATATATTATAGTCTGCCCACAAAATGAAATGACAGTCTTTGCTGTGCATAAGTGAAAAGTTCTAAAATGCTTAGTACAAACATAGAGTTGTAACTTTTCCTGTGAAAATGGTTTGGGCCCAACCGGAGTTCTTACTTTTATGCCTTTACCTTCAGAGATTTATGATGGTCCCACGTTGCTTTGGTGGTCATTATTTTAAGGGTAGCAAGATTTTACAGAGGTCAAGTTGCCCTTTGTATAATTTCTTCTCATATATTATGTAAGTGTTCAGGTGATATATATATATATATACAGTATATATCAGAAAAATAACCTTTCAATACATAGAAGGCACTATATAATATAAAAATTCTTTACATTACTTGAGATACATGTTGTAGTAGAATGTTATACTGTGTTAGCTATTGATCAAAGCAGAACTTTTCAAGAATTGTGCCTGGAATTGTTTTTTTCTAAGTCGCCCCAGTAACTATTCTAAACTGATCTCTTATTCCTTACAATAGCCTTTACCACTAAAGTGTGTAAAATAAAAATAGTTGTATATTTAATTGCCCCTCCTTGTATTTCCATGTATTAATTTCAGATACTATTTTTCAGAAATGTATAAAGCCTAATGAAGGGAACTGAGCTATCTAGAAAACCTCTATTTTTAAGAAAACAAATTAGCCAGTAAAGGGTATCACGTAAACTCCAACTTTCTGCATCGACCATGTTGGATAAAGGTTTTCTGTTATTTCCATATGCTCACTGTGATATCCTATACAAATTTAAAATAAATAAATAAAAATAAAAAATATTTGTGGCCTATAGATCTTTGGCCATTTGGCCATATGGCCATACCCAGCAAAAGCATCAGTAAAGTTTGGCTCTAGCAATCATTACATACAAGGAATGGTGGACAACATTATTATTATGATTATTATTATTATTATTATATAAATGATATCCCATTTTTATCTTGGAAACGAACTTCACCATTTGGAAAGATATATCGTTCTTAGTTGATTCTCTGTTGCTCTTAGCAAGTATATGAGATAGAAATGGTACATCTGCTAATATCTTTTTAGTAATATTGATTCCTTTCTTTCCACAGAGAAAATACAGACAGCATCCAGATACTATTAAGTTTACTTCTGTAGAGGATGATCCTGTTATGGTCCAAGCTAAAGTCAACCAGAAACAGCGGAGTGATGTAAGTATGCCTTAAAACTTGTCAGTGATTAATTTGCTGTCCTTTATCTTGTTTAAAGGAACTTTAAGCCACAATACATTATGAAAACACTTTTAAGTTCATAAAGTCATGGAATTATTTTACAATTTGGCCTGTGCAGTTACTTGAAATGTGTCTTTATGTGGAGTTGCCATACTTTGAAATAAAGTTAAGGTCAGGCTTGTGGTGGATCAGCCTGCACTGTAAGTTGGCGGAAAGAAGTGGAAGGGTACTTAGGTGGGAGAAGTCCAAAGAACGGGTAGTATGTGGGGTAATGGCACAAACTGCAGAATTGCAGGCTGTGGGAAATAATGTTAACCACTTAGAGCTCCTGAGCCATATAGGACAACAATGGTGGGTAGATCTCCAGAATATGCACATTTTATTACAGAAAATTTGTCAGATGAACCAAACCAATTACTATATATGTAATTAAATACATGGATACATGTCCCTTGAATGTTGAATGCAATGTTGTCTATGGAATCTTTCAGTTCATATACTTTTTCTTATTTGTTTGCAGATTCTATATAAAGCTGCTGGAGAAAAGGTTATTCATAAATATTCCTTACCTGCAGATGTTCCTGAACTCATTCAAGCCAGAGTTAATGCCTATAACATAAGTGATGTAAGATTTACTCCTATGTACTTATTATTTTTAACTCTGTGTTGTTTATCAGATTCAATTGATTATATGTTTTGTTTCAGAATTATTACAAACATGGACTGGAAGAACTAAAGTCTAAAGGATATGATCTGAAACCTGACGCTATTTCAATCAAAGCTGCCAAAGCTGCAAGACAGGCAGCTAGTGATGTAAGCACAACATTATAGTAATATGCCATAATGTTTTTATTACAGGAGTGAATTAAAAATTAGCTTCCTTAGTGGAATTTCTTTTCCCCTCCCTAGCTTTTAGCATGGGAGCAGCTAGGTCTTAGATGTGCGTATATAATGAGCACTATATTCTATATTCACTCCCACCAGAATAGATAAAAGACGTAATGTTTTCCAGACTAGATGAATGGGATTGGTTACAGCTGAACCTTCAGATTTGCACATTTGTACAGGCATCATTGGCATAACAACAGGGGTCACAGATATCCAGTTGTGACCTGGTCCCAGCTCCAGGGGGCACTGGGGACTGCCTGTGAACTCCTGCTCTTTTAAGCAGAAGAAGATTCCTCCCATGTATCAAATTGTGCTGTTTTCCTTCTACTTTGCTGAAAGAGTTAACATCCACCCCTTAGTCATCCTTGTAGGGATATTGTAATTATATATATATATATATATATATATATATACACACAGGGGCGGACTGACAACTCATGGGGCCCCCGGGCAATAGGGGATCATGGGGCCCCTGTGTCCTTGCCCAAACTCAAAAAAGCCTATGAAAAAGGTACCAGGGGCATCTCATGGGGCCCCCTACTGACCCCAGGCCCTCGGGCACTGCTCGAGTTTCCAAATGGTCAGTCCGCCCCTGTATATACAATATTCCTACAATCTTGTCAATAAGCCTTGTGTCCCTGCACAGTCCCTCCTCACAAGATGAAAAGAGCACAGGACAAGTTGCAGCTGTTCAGAGGCTTAGAGCCCATCTCCCTGTGTCAGTCCAGTCGGTGCTCAGAGTAGGGCAGATAAGGAATCACACTCGGCAGGATCTGTAGTCCAAACTTTGTACAGACAGGAAAAATGTGTTAATGTGGCGATTGTTCACAAGACAGCAGCATTAACTTTCCCTTGATGGATACTACAGTCTTGCCTGCAGAGTGCTCTGGGAATGGTTAGGACACTGACAACCTGTATTATTTGATCACTGGAATGGAAATGTCCTTCAGTGTGCAGTAAGCCAAACTTATATTTTTATTTTTTGCATACACACAAAAGAGAGAGAGATGAACATCTAAAGAAACCAGGGCTGGTTCACACCATGGTGAATAAAGGGGAGAGAACAATGTTCTTGGACAACTTGCCAGCCAGCTTGCTAACAACCGAATTAACCTGTCTAACAGTATGCGTTTAAAAACGGGTTTAGTTAGCACACATTTGCAAATACATACGTAAGCCACAGAGCCACGACACGGCACCCTGATAATCTGTGGTCCTAACTGAGTTCTCTCCCCTTTATTCACTATGTGATGCCTGTTTATGTGTCCTTGCTTCATAAGCCAGCTATAGACTTGGGCAGGTGGCCACTTTTATTTGCTGGTTCACACCATGCCTGCAAAGGAATCGCACGGAAACGTGCTGTGCGTTCCTGTGCAATTCACAGTGCATGCAAAACACACTCCGTTTGCAATCTGCAGTGGATGTCTGTAAAAAGTTATTGACACTCCCAAAACACAGATCGTAAGTGCAGTGTGTTTGCCTACAACAAATCACATGGTACTTTTGTTGCAGTGCATTTTAAAAAGTAATGCATACAATACTTGTGGTGTGGTGCAATTTCTATCCATTCAAAATGCATGGACTGAGATCGCACTCCTCAGAACTGCATGTGAATTGCACAAGAACTGCAGAGTGTCACTGTGCACATCACATGCAGTTTCTGGTGTGAACCGACACTGAACTAATGGAGTGAGATTAAATGAAGATGAAAAAAGAAGGAAAGAGAAAATGAGAGAGAGAAGGGTAGAGAGAGAGAAATGGAAAGAGAAAAAGAGAGAGATGGGGGAGAGAAAGGCAGAAAGAGAGAATGAGCTAGAAGTAAAGTTTGAGAATTTAAGAGACAGAGACTGCAAGAGAGAAGGAGTAGAGAGCAAGAAGGAAAGAGAGAGAGAGAGGAAAAAGAGAGAGAGAGTAGGAAAGAGAATAGGAAAGGATAGGATAAGAGAGAGAGAGTTTATTGATTTCACTGGGGGGATGGAAGAAAAGGTTGTAATATTGTAATATATTCTTGCAAGTGTTTTTACATTCTGCACAAGGGTTTGCTTACAAGTATTCAAAATAATTGGAGCAGTATCTCTAAATGTGGACAGCTTCTCAAAATCCTTTGAAATACTCTCTCAATATGTAAATAAATATCTGAAAAAACTTTGAGTATGTTGGAGCAGTGGAAGCGGCGGGTGGTAGTGTGCGGGGCACCAGGTCAATTTTTGCATCAGGCCCACAAGCTTCAAGTTACACCTTTGATAGGCATCCCTCCTGTACTAAAATGGCTTACTCTGATAGCATTGCACACTATGAGCTTCTCACAATGTGCATTAGAAGCTGAAACAAGTTAGATAGTTTTTGCCCCTTTTCCTGGCTGAAGGACATCCAGCATAGCCCTTATCTCCCCAGCCTTACTGTCCCTGGCTGTCCCTTTCATTCATTGATTCAGTTCTTTCATAATGATGAGGTGGGAAAGGAGGCACCAATTAGGGCACAAATGGAGCAGATTATATATTAGTTTAAAGTAACATTTGCACTGCTTTCAATAATTCTACAGTCTGAGATGTCCATACGTGGCAAAGAAGCAGGCACAACTACTGCGCTGCATTTTTTTAAATAGAAAGATAGAAAGTACATCATGTATTCCTGAGTCAACATACTGTACTGTCAAAATAGTAATAGCAATTTAATATATTACCTTGTTTACAGTGGTATGTCTGTTAATCTGATCACATTCACATAAATATAACAGAAGTTTGGTATTATCATAGTTATAATTTGTAATCATTTGGATACACTTTGTACTTGTTTTAGGTACATTATAAGAAATCTTATGAAGCCCAGAAAGGGAAACTCGTTGGTTTCCGAAATCTACAAGACGATCCTAAGCTTGTCCACTACATGCATGTGGCAAAGATTCAGTCCGGGCGTGAATATAAGAAAGAATATGAAAAGACAAAGACCAAATATAATACTCCATTGGATATGGTCAACGTGGTGGCCGCCAAGAAGTCGCAAGATATTGCAAGTGGCATTGGCTACAAACAGCCAATCCATCACTACACTTATCTACCGGATGCCATGAGCCTTGAACTGTCCAAGAAGATGATGGAAATACAGAGTGATGTGAGTTGATTCTTTTTTGAGAAATTGTGCCTTTCAAGGGTTTACTCAAACTGGGGCACACTAACCACTGGTAATACATAGGCTTATTCTTGTATGTTTTAGGATTTATGTGCAGAACAAACTAATCCTAGTGATGGCTGTCAATGAGAGCACTACAAGCAAAATGTAATTTAAACTGTGGGCATGAAATGTTGGCCTCTGTGGCACCAATGGGCCTTATGCAGAGAGAAGCATACTGACTCACTGTAGGGTGGGGGTTTGGTCTTTTTGAGATCAAACTAATTGAATGTACTTCAGGAGTACACAGGCAGAAAAGTGTATTTTCAAATAAATTAATTAAACAGACTATATAGTAGCAATTAGAGATGAGCGAATCGAACATGACGAAGTGGAATTCGTTCCGAAGATTTGGAAAAATTCTATTCGCGACGAATCCGAAGATTAGCAAACTTCGGATGCACGAATCTAATTTTCCCAAAAATGGCGGCGACATGTGTGGCGACGGAGAAAATGGACAGAGAAGATGGGGCGGGGATCTCTGGGAAGGCGCGCAGACAAGGCGCGCTGACCCATAATGCATTCATGACATGTGATCGCATTAGCCAATCAGCAGCCAGCCAGCACTGTGTAATGGTGGAGCTATAAATCGCGGCCATCTTAGAATTCTCCATTAGCCTCCGGTCATTCAAGAGAGACAGACCTGTGTGTATTAAGGGACAGAGTTAGGGCCACAGAGACTTTAGGGCCACAGAATCGTTACTCAGGGACACAGAATCGTTACTCAGGGACATAGAATCGTTACTCAGGGACACAGAATCGTTACTTAGGGCCACAGCTATCAAAGAATCGAAAATTTAAAGTGACATACACCCTTTTTTTTTTTTTTGGGTGGCTGTCGTGCACAGTTGGTGCTGCAGTTTGCCGATTGTGCAAAATAAACTGACTTTCTGCTTCACAACCACTATTGTACGTTCAAAGAGTTAAATCCATTTACACGCCGGCTGGCGGTAATATTTTTTGGGTGATTAGTGCATTCCAGTGACACAAACATACAGTTTCCAGCCAACGGCAAGCTGCAATTGACCGATTGTGTACAATAAACTGACTTTCTGCTTCACAACCACTATTGTACGTTCAAAGAGTTAGATCCATTTACACGCCGGGTGGCGGTAATATTTTTTTTGGGGTGATTAGTGCATTCCAGTGACATAAACGTACAGTTTACAGCCAACGGGAAGCTGCAATTGACCGATTGTACTAAATAAACTGACTTTCTGCTTCACAACCACTATTGTACGTTCAAAGAGTTACGAATACTGCTGCATCCACCGCCACCCTGCGCCATGTGTCTCTGTCGTCTGCTCACGCTGCTGACGGCTTCCGCTTTTTAACCTAGGCCTGTGTATGGCTTCAGAATAATGCTGCCTACACCGCCACCCTGCGCCATGTGCCTCTGTCGTCTGCTCACGCTGCTGCCAGGTCCATACTGATTCATGGCCCCCTGTACCGGCTCCTCATGAACGTGGTTCAGCGGGTTTGCATCACTTAACGGCAAATCGTTGACAAACGCTGGAACGTTCAGTGTTGTGCGCATTAAGCCAGACACCAAAGGGCAGCACAGACCTGTTATTACTCGCTCAAGCATGGCTGAACAAAACCAGTCTCTACCACAAATTGGACCCAGACCTGCCCAGGGTCTCGTAAGTAGATTGCACGGAGGAGTAGAGTTCGTTATTGGAATTAACTGTGAGGGACTTTTAAACCTAGGCCTGTGTATGGCCTTCAATTGAAGCTGCTTCTGCTCCGCCACTCTGCCATTGGACTCTTGATAGTCATCTCCCCACGCTGCTGCTGGGGGGACTTTTTAACATAGGCCTCTGTATGGCCTTCAATTTTAGCTGCTTACGCTCCGCCACTCTGCCATGGGCCCCTGTACCGCCTCCTCATGCTGCTGCCAGGCCCGTAATCTGCCATGGGCCCCCGTACCGACTCCTCATGCTGCTGCCAGGCCCGTAATCTGTCATGGGCCCCTGTACCGCCTCCTCATGCTGCTGCCAGGTCCAGAGTGTGTCATGGGTCCCTGTACGGCCTCCCATTGCTGCTGTCTCCATCGCCACACTCTGCCATGTGCCACTTTCAGGTCTCCTCACACTGCTGGTGGGTTCCATTTTGTCATAGGGTGCTGTATGGCCTCCCATTGCTGCTGCCTCCACCGCCACACTGTGGCTCCACACTCTGGTTTTGGCCCCGTGACTGCCGAAATGAGTGAAGTGTGCGGTGATTCTAAGATCGACGGCACTCACCTGCATGTCATACTGACTGACAGTATTATTTCTCTTCCCCAGCAGACTCCAAGGGCATTTAAATTAAAGGTACAGTGTTCTGCACTAATATAAAGGCTCTCTGAAGCCTAGAAACACCCTTTTTTATAAGTTAAATTCGCAGCGAATATATTCGGCTCGAAGCGAATTTATTCGGCGAATTCGGCGAATCAGCCGAACCGAATTTTTGAATAATTCGCTCATCTCTGGTAGCAATCATGACATTACCGCTAAACAGTTGTTATAGGTATAGTTCTATGGCATAGATGGGTATTTCAGTTTGGAATAGTAATAGGGGTAAAAGCAGAAAATAATCATGGGTTGAAAATCAGATTCGCCATTGGTAATGCTAGTTCTGCATAACATGAAACAGTAATGCTTCAGCTGTAGTTGAGTCAAACTTCGATTTTGGAAAGTTACAGTAAGCACAAAGCCAGCATAATATTTTTGAACCTTCGTCATTACTCAGAAAGACGGTGCCTTTCAGTTGTACTTGTGGTACTTACTGCAAAAGTTGTCCTGTGGTGGTGCAACATGATTAACAAAGGTTTGGGAGGGGAGACATTGGTTTAATCAAACTCATCCACTATGTTAGTTTTAAGCATTTTTTGTTGTTTCCTTTGTAGAACATCTACAAGTCTGATTTGAACAGCTGGATAAAGGGCACAGGGTGGATTCCTATTGGGTCCTTGGACGTAGAGAAGGCCAAGAAGGCTGGTGAAGCGTTGAATGAAAAGAAATATCGCCAGCATCCAGACACCATAAAGTTTACAAGTGTAGTTGATACTCCTGTCTTGGTCCAGGCTAAGACAAATGCTCTTCAACTCAGTGATGTAAGTGGCCTTAACACTATTTCCTTTCTTATTATTTGTTTTTATGCTTCAAACTGTACCAGATGAGCTTCTTATTTAGCAGTTGATTATAAATTTTTTTTTGTTAGAACAGGCCAGCTCATGAGGAATGTAGGGTTTCATGCCATCACACAACCTAAATTAGCTGCCCTCCGTGCATATTTATCCTACATGCTAATGAGTGAGTTGTTTGAACCCTGCATTTTATTGGTAATAGCTAGTAAGACATCTGAGTACTTCCTCTTTTTTCCCAAAACTGGCACAGATATAAGTAATTGGAGACACATTCTTTATACTGATGTGAACTCTTGCAAGCCAGTACACAATATCCAGGCCTGAACTGACCCTGATAGTTTTCAACCATCTGTGCACAGGAGGTCACATGGAGCATACCTGAGATGATCAGGTTCATAGCTGCAAGAATGAATAATCGGTGGGTCCATTTTGTGTAATTCATTTTTTTATATACTAAGTTTATACAAGTGAATGTAGTCCACAACATGCAATTATGACAATATTGTAGTTTGGCCCTTTCTGAATTCCTGGAAAACAGCATGGCCTACACTGTGAAAGAAACCATCCTGATTTGGATTTTGTGTGTTTGCACAGTTAAAGTAAAGGAAAGGAAAGTAAAGTGAAAGTATAAATTCACATCCCATTAATTCAGTTAATCTTTTTTTTTACAGAAACTTTACAAATCCTCAGGAGAGAAGACCTTGCACAAATTCCATTTGCCCCCAGATGCACCTCAGTTTATTCAAGCCAAGTACAATGCTGCTAACGTTAGTGATGTAAGTCTCTTCTTTTATTATATTGCACAAAAGGTAACTGAATCCTATCTTTGTAATTGCTACTAATGTTTAAGAACAGAGAAACACAACAAAGCATTTAAAACTTTATTAAACAATATACATTTATTTAAAATATCTGAAAATACAATCACCTTAAATATATTCTTCTAGCTGTAATATCTCAGGGTCATGAAAAGATATATTTATTTCGAAAATATTAACTCTCATTATAAAATCAAGATGAGCAGAACTTTCTCCTAATAAAATGTAGCTAAATGTCAACTGTACATTAGGTCTCATACAGAACATGACAGACTCCTAAGATATTATTATTTGCTAATAGGATTAAAGGAGAAATATAATAATCAAGTTCAGCATTTAGTAGAGGCTCTTTTAGGAAATACAAAGAGCAATGTAAAACATTCAGCCACCCATAACCAATTTACAATTTGCTATTTATTAATCTGAATATAATAGACTGGTATGGTATGGTATAGTATAGTAGTCTGGTTGCTATGATGTTACTTTCTTCATTTGTATCATTAGTATTATTGTTCATTTTATTCCTTTATTAAACACATTTATTTAAATATGAAAAACTTAGGAAAGGCCCTCTCTGCATCATGGTAACTTTAAAATTAGCCCATATTTAAACACATGTTGGATCCAAAAATAGGCTACAGATAACTGAGAAATAATTACACATTCTCACTTAGTTCATTAGCATTATTTAAAGCTGATTCATTTTCCTAAATTCTAGTTGTTGAATTTCAAATCAGTTGCAATTAAGGCAAACAGTTTCAAACTTTACTTACTCATTGTGGTTCAGCCTTTTTGGCTAGTGGCTTTTATCGCTGTTATTAATAACCTTTCTATCATAAAGTAATAATGAATAATGAAAATCACATTGATAGGTAAAAAAATAAATCTTTTTTTTTCAGAGTTTTTACAAGCAT